TCCCCTTCAAAGAGGACTCGCACTTCCATCCCGGCTCTGAAGTCGTCCTCTCAGGAGATCCTTTCATCGCAGGCAGATGAGAGGAACGAGGAGGACAGGAGGGACAGGCTGGGAGGAGCCCGCAGCCTCGCCAGTCTGGATGGACAAGGTACACAAAACAACATTTTAGGAGGAAAGCCTCCTCCTGACTGTGACACGTTGTCGTTCACAGTGAGGCCAGTTTTCCATATGGTTTGTAAGACAAAAGGCAACATTGTTCACAGAAGTGTTTATATAATTAATAAGATTGCTTGAAACCTAAAACCTAAACGATTTTAACCATAAACGCACTCGCCATTTTTACCATTCTCGTCATCCTCACCATCTCTAAACTGCCTCCTAATCTGCCATTTCACTCCCATTCATTTTGCTGTTTTTGTGGCGTGTTAAAGCTTTTTAAGAACACTTGAGGCCCATAAACAGCCACTTGCATTCGGCCATAAAAATGTTGTCCTCTCAGCACTGCGCCGGGGGAAGAAGCTGTCACCGGCTGATACAGTGCTTGGCCTTAATGGAAAGAAAACAGAGGCTACCTTGTTATTAGCATCAGTGTGTGTCCATGGGGCATGTGCAATAAAAGAGATGTGTGGTTTTCGGCGTTATCCTCACCTCCTCTCTCACTCTCTCTCTCATGATCGCAATCTGACCCCCAGTACAAAAAGGTGTATGAACGTGGCGTTTGTGTCAGAGAGTTCAGCAGCTGCGTCTGACCTTTCTGCTTGATGTGACGATGGAGCGTTAGCCAACGCTACACCGGAAGACACAAGGATGTGGGCGTGGGCGTGGAGCACAAAGACAAGTTCTGGGGTCATGCGTCCACTTTCTCTTTACAACCAGAGCGCTCTCCCACCAGTGTCTGTGTTGCTGTGAACCAATTTGGATTGTTGCACTTCCTAAAGCTTCTCTTTATGGATACTAAATCAGTCTCGGAGAGGTCAGAGGAAATCTGTTTCACTCTGGGGTGTGAAGTTGATACAGGGTAATATGCTATATATCAGTTTTATTGGAACCATTCAATCACTTCTATCAAAATCTCATGCACTGCCGAGTCTCAGTCATGAGGATTGTTTAAACTTTCTAAGTCCACAATAGAATAGCAAGAATAGCTCTCTGTCATTTCCATGGTGGATGATCCAGTGACAGCTTTACGTTTTGATCAATACAACTATATAAAGCTGTATTGATCATATTGATTGACTAATGGGGCATTTAGGGTCCTCCAAGGAATCATGACTGTGGGTGTCAGTTTACTCATCATGAACAGCACTACCCAGCCTGTGAAAAAAGTTGGTCTCATCTCGGCCTGGCCTTGGAGACTACAATAAAAAAAAACAAAAAAAACAAAGCATGAATTTTGAAAGATGTTGAAGTTCACCAGGCAGTGAGAGTCAGATGGACAGATATGAAACATATTCACATGCATGTAAATGTTTTCTCCTCAGCTGTGTTCGGTTCATACCTGCGTCCTGATCTGGTCCCTGCCAACCCGTTGTTCTACGAGGGCTCCTCTATGGGAACCATCTCCACCTCCTCCATCTTTGTCAACGTGGACAACCAAACAGAGGACAGGTATGGTGTCTACTTGTTTTTCTGTTTTCACTCTTTGCTTTCCCCTGTATCGTGGCACTCTGAGTTGATACGGGAGTGGCTTGTGTAGCTTACTGCGAGGTTTGGCCTTGAGGACGGGAAGGAAGGAAGGAAGGCATGTAAATTTTCACCACGCCCAACACACACATGTTCGCAAACGCCCACATTATTGTCACCTGAGTTGCTGACGTCACATGGTCTTTTATTAGAGACGTGTGTCACATAACAGGTGACTCAGCTGGCTTGGCAACATTTACCCAATACATATACACACACACTGCCTACACAACATGTGGACAATACAGTCAAAGGATTAATGGTGTGTTGGTGTGTACAGTTTGTGACTTTCATTTATAAGACAGGGAGGAAGAAATGCTACACAAATCTTTCCAAACTTCAATTTACAGCAATATTTATTTATCTTAGTGGTTCAGTGTTGAGAAATGAGGTACTACCTCATATTACATTGCAGAATCTGATCAAGTGGTAGTGTACATTATGAAATAATAATCAATGTTTTTCATTAACAGGTTTTATTACACCCTTAATCCACTTCTTTGCCACGTCACTGCACCGTCTGGCAGTCTCGTTCTCCCTCTTGCTATAAGCCTCTGGACACTTCATCCTCTTCATGTTTTCCATCTTTCACCTGTCCTCCTGTCCAGCAGTGTCAGGTTCAGCTTGCTTTCTGAGGCTCCATTGTGCGACTTGTCCGGTCTTGTCCCCTCACCAGTCACCTGCTGCTGCCTTGACATTGTTCTGTCAACTGTTATCATAAATATTTAAACAGCGGCGTTGACGTGGTCTTATAATTGGTGCCATTATGCTGTAGAAAGACTGTGAGAGGAGAGGACGAGTGGGGCAATGGAGACTGTATATCCACCGACAGTAATTCCTGTCCTGACAGCTGGTTTGTCTGTTACAGTAGTAAGCCCTTGTGTTGAGATGTTTGAGGGTAGGATTGCTCTAAAACAAAGCAGCTCTGCTGCTCTCTACCTGTCTTTCAATTGACTTTGAGCACAGAAAGCAGTCAGTCACAAGGGTCATGAGAGTAAACACACATTCCTGAATTTATCAGGGAGAGTCACCTGATGTATATATACACAGAAAGCAGCTCTCAATGCCCCCTGGTGGTTCAACAACAACTGTAAATGAAAGGGAGGATAAATAAAGTTGCACCATGTCTCCTGATCTTAAAGCTACATTTAAAGCCTTATATTCACCAGCCATGACAGCGAGGCTGGTATTGCTTTCACTTTGTGAGTCTCTCTCTGTGTGTTTGTGTCTTTATGACTAACTACTGTAGCTGGAGCCTCCAGAGAGGTGGTCTTGAGTACTTTGGCAGGTGTTTATATGTCTGTCTGTGGACAGATTTTTGTCAGGAAACTTTACAGGTGTGTAGTTGAGATCAAAATGAAGGCCAACAATGGGCATGGTCCAACCCAAGAGTACTAAGTACTCATACAATAAGTTAGCAGTGATGACTAAGTACTCATGTGTCAGAACATGTTAGTTCGTTGTATTTAATTATTGATGTTTTATGCTTTGTATTTAATTTGGGTTTTTTTTTAATATGCATGTCTATTGGCTGCATGGGGATAAAAGCATAGTTTAGATTGTGTCTTGGGGGACACCTTTGTGCACTTGCAGGAGCGGGTGATGCCTCTGTTGCCTGTGACATCTTTTATGCAATGACACTCCCTGCTGAATACATTTTCCATGTGATAGTGTTTGTTACCCATTTCTTCTTCTTTCCTGTAAACTTGTGACACATGTCCTCCCTCACACTGAAACAGGAATTGCTGAATTTCAATTTGTGCAATTTCCCAAAATAATTCAGCTCTGAACTTAATGTTACACACTGCTATGAAATGTATGAGTACGTGTAGTACATATTCTCCCACCAAGGGTCTCATTTTGACTTGACAGTCTTGAGGAGATTTTGTTTATTTCCTGTGAGAACATGTGAGAGACTATGAGCCTCTCAACTGAAGACTTCACTGGCCCAACTCCAGACAGGTTTCACATCCTGTTCACAGTCGCTTCATCTCTTTGCCTCTTTGATGTCATAGTTTCTATAATAGTCTGTGATTTGTTTATAGACAGTATGTTTTTCATCAGTTTTCAGAGAAGTGTTTATACAGCTGCGTTCACTTTCACCCAGACTGTAAACTCCCAGGGCCGTCTGCTACACTGGTTAATATAAAAATATCTGTTTCAGGGATGACGTTGCATCCAGCTCCACGTTTACCCTGGAGGACAGTGCTATCTGCCTCACTTCTGAGCAGAGCACCATGGATGTGGACATAGACCGTGATGACGGATCTGTTCTCGATGTCTACTTGGTGTGTTGTTTCTCCATTTCAGATAATGGTTATCTGTGCTTATGCATGTTTATTTCTCATTAAGCAAATAGGCCTAAACTACATTTATAATCTTGTCTTTCCTCTCCTCTCCCCTGCAGTGAAAAGAGCAGCTTTACAACCTTCATTTCCTCCTGCCAATCATAAGACAATCGCCGCACTCCATTGGACAGGCCCGACAGGCCTTTAACTCCACTTCCAGTGCCGATAGATCCATGTTGCCACTTGTATTGCCAAGACATAAAAAGACTGAGACTCTCCACCGGTTGAAGGACTAAAACAAGACACAAACAAAGTCACAGCAAAGGACATCTGCAAAACCATGTGACATATCATGTAATGTGATGAACATCGGGCTGAACTGAGTGTCGCTTTTTAGAGCATGCGTCAATGCAGTGCCATTAAGTTTTATATATGTATCCTGTTTTCATGGCCTACACAAGGATCTAAACATTTACTACATATACACACGAGGACAGGCTAGATACAAATCATACATTTCTTTGAATGTTTTTTTTCTTCTTTTTTTTTTTCTGCAGACCACAAAGAAATGAAAGACACTTTCAAAACTTGCAACAGATGAGAAATGTTTACAGTGAATTTATGATGGTATCCTTGTCCCTGATGAAGGGGGATGGGACAGTGTCACACAAAGGACACAAGCCAGCTTGTAGCCACAGCCAACACGGATGAAGAAAGACTCATATGAACAGATTTGATTCTGAAGCTACCAGGGCCGAACACAGACTGTGATGTGGTTAAAGTGGCCACCTTTTCCTAACTGGGCTGTTATCGGTGCTGCCCTGACGCGAACCTGAAGCGGCTGGAAAGTGGCGTGAGAAAAGACAGTTACTGGCTCTTGGATGAATAACAGAGTGGAGGGACAATGCACTTGCTCTTCACAAAAAGGCACTTTTGACATAGGTTATGATTACTGTAAGAAATATTTTTCTCTTAGGACGTTGCTTAGGTGGGTGGGCTACCTGACATAAGCACAGATTTGGATGTGTGAATATGCACTTTTTTTTTTCCCCCCCTCTTTTTACTCTACAAATGCACACCTCTGTAAGTCATTGATACTACATGTACAGAGACAATGAAGGAACTTTGTAGATCATTTTTGATGTGGAGCTACTAGTTTTGTGAGGTTTGCGTCACGACTGAAGATGCTTTTACTCAGGATATCCTTTGATACTGAATAAGTGTGTCCTCTTCAAGAAGTTATGAGACATGCATCCTACACTTAGAAGCCGTCTGATACCTCTTCTTCAAGACCATATCCAACTATAAATGTTGAATTCCACGATCACACGTCAGTTAAGACCATAATTTATGTAAATCTCAATATTTTACCATTTGCTGAAAAAAAAAAAAAAAAAACTTTAATCGCTGAATGTAAAGACAATGCATATTTATATATAGAAGAGACTCATATAAATAAACTGCTAAAAATTCAGTGTCTACTTGTTTTCAGCAGCTTTAGTATCTGAAGCAGTACTTTTCAGTGTTAAACATTTAACATGATCTCTCTGCACATCACTGCTGTGTACCCATCCGTCATTTATCAGCAGAAAATCCCCTCGGCAACACTTTCAATTCTGTTGTGTAACAATTTTAATTTACAGAACATTGTCAAATTGCATTACATTTAGTGCAAATAATAACACTTCTGATGTACAACTTAGAAATATACAAAGTGTGTAGATTACTGACAAAATATCAAAATTAAAAACACTAAATGCATTCTTCAGCTGACATTGCTCATAGATCTAGCTCTTGTAATCATCAGCAAAAACAATTATCCAGATCCTTCATGACCTCTGGCCCCTTAGACTGAAGATCTGATGGTTACATTTTTAAGCATGCAGATCTGATTGCAAAACTCCCAACTTATGATGGCATTAAACACAATCTAGAGTAAATATAAATCTTGAGGTAAGATGATGTGAAATGCTGACCCTCCCCTCCCCCCCAGCTTCATTTCAGTGTTGATAAATGCACATCTGGTGGCTGTACAGTAGAGAAAGCCAGGACTTTTAGGGTTCATCCTGGTGTCTAAGGCATTCTAGGGGTAGTTTATCAGTCAAAGGGCAGGAGGCCACTGCACTGTAGTGTGGCGTGTGAAATGTAATGTTACGGGTATGACTGAGAATGTAGGGACTGGATGATATCCTGCTCAGCATTATACAACATTACCTTATCCTGCGGAACAGCAGCAGGACTAATTTACAAACCATGAATGGACAGATTTTCTCATCAGCCTCAACAGGGACTGAAAGTAGTGGGAAAAAAACTAAAAACAAAAACAAGTGTGTGCGAAATGTATCCACTCATCTCTCAGCGAAAGACAGGATCAATAATCAGTCACTACGGCTGGTCATTTGGAAATATGTGTCAGAAACCGTGTGTGACATGGAAGTTCAAGACAGACACACACTGACAATAGACAGCAACTTAACAGCTATAGACCACAGTCAACTACATGATACTTATCCAATTATTGATTATCAGTTTGACTATCAGAAAAATATTGTTGAACATGAGTTAATTCGACTTTAAAAAAATGCTCTTCATCTCCCACTTCAGGTTTCCTTGGCCCATTACAGTCATCAAATTCAAGCGTTTTAACAGTCAATTCACATTTCTCACATTGGTAAACTAACTGAAAACTTAGTCTGTTTTCTCTGTACAATACATTGTGTCCATGGTGCTCTCCAAAAGCTACTTTATAACAATCTAGAAATATAAAGATTTCAAAGCTTTAGGCTCTGACCCTCCATCAAACTGCAGAGTCATCACTAGAGGGACAGGAGAAGGCAAGAAAGAGGAGACACTGTACCACACCTCATCAATGCTTTTCCTGTCAATATCTACTGTCCTCACTCATGGTAGTTACTTTAGCAGCAGCGAAACAAGTAGCTGTAATACTAGTGATTAAAGCAAACCCAAACAAGTCGAGAAGTATGTAATCATAAGAAATGTACAAAACAATTTACAAAAAAAGCAAATAATTGGTAACAACAATTCAAAAACCACTTAGGAAACTCTTGAATGTACATACAAATGTACCCATGACCAACAGATGGTGTTACGCCATTATAATGTGGCTGGGATGAGAACTACTGATTGATTAAAGCTGTAAAACCAGTCTCCTCTACAAGCAGGTGTACTGTGGATGATATGGTGTCCGCCCGCATGTAGTAGTCTCAAAACACCTTTTAATTGTCGGTTGAAAGGGTATTGTAGTTATGGAGAGCCTGTTCAACTATGAACAGCGTAGCCTCTCCAGTGGGAAACCTCGACCCTTCGCAAGCCTGAAACAAGAAGGAACATTCAAAGTCAATAGGCCAGAAATGAACAAAACCAGATTCTGTACATCTTCTGGCTTTCATGGTTCAAAATGACGGACCAGCACCAGCCAGGAGATATCCCATCCATCGCCGGTGTAAGCAATGTTCTACCCATCACTTCAGATGCTTTCTCAGTTCTAAAACAAGATGTGTTTGAGTTCCTGGTTACCTCTTTGTGTTCAGAAGAGGATGGGCTTCCCAGCAGTTTTCTCCTGGACGTAGGAGGTAAAGCGTTTGAGGAACTTGGGATACTCTCTCTTGGCCACAGCTCTGAGGACAGAGGCTGGAGCCCAGCCTCCTGGGTTTACTGCAGGCACACAGAGGAAAAATTATCAGGAAACTGTGTGTACGTGTTGACTCATGATAACACAATTAAGTCATAAACCCAGATTCAGTACATAGACAGCGGCCTAGGGTGCCCTCTAGTGGGAGGCAAGGATGTGAACTTCCATGACCTGCCCAGCTTCTCCCAACAATAAACTGGTTCAGGATTCCTTCTGCAGCGCTGTTTTAAGTCACAATCTCCTCGTCTACAGGAAGTAAGGTGGGGGGGGGGGGGGGGGGGGGGCTGTGCAAGTCTGGACTGACAGATCAAAGACACGAGCAAACACACCATCTCACTCCAGTGTCAACTACCAGCTGCACGAAGACCAATTAGCAGAAATATTGGCTGACAGGAGGTTGCTGTGAATTATCTGGGGAAAGGTGTAACATTCAAGTTGTTTTTGTTTATGCAAACATGACAGTTGAGCTCTTGAGGACTTCACTGCTTTATTATTAACAAACACAATATATTCTCTTTACCGGTTTGCCAGTGCATTAGCCTGAATCAGATAGTGTAGTGTTAATGATTTCATTAATTTCTCCTCTGTAGTCTTGGAAATTCAGTGGGTTTTCTTTATAATTGTATGGACTGTCTATAGACAACAACTGATTAGAGCTTAGGGCTCAACTTAAAACTTCCCTCTGGCGCTTGCAGGTAGATTATGATTAGATTGATGATGATGGAATGACTTTGTTTTGTTGGCTGCCAGTCTTGCCCTGGGTATATACTCTGAGGCTGGAGAGGCACTTACCATTGGCAACGTAGGTAATCTTACAAAGGATGTTGTCTCTGCTGATCTCTTTATCACCCTCTGGCGGGCTGACCAGTGTTTGGCAGATCATGGCGACATTGATTTTGGCACGTACACACCGGTTTGTGGGCTGAAAGTAAAACAAAAATGTAAATGCAAACAATTCCCAAGCTGCCACAAATCTCACTGTGACACATTTGACAGAGGTGAACAGGTCTAAAACTATGCTTTCTTACATTTACACTTAAAGGGGGAGCTACACACAAAGCCTTGTTGGACTGAGGGGTATTTGTAGCTATATGGTGTGATTAATCATTTTTAATTTAATCACAGTTCTAATATATATATATATATATATATGTAAGAAATAGGCCAAACAGTATGTTTACTGACAAGTTTTTTACCCACTAGATGCTCACTTNCTCACTGTGACACATTTGACAGAGGTGAACAGGTCTAAAACTATGCTTTCTTACATTTACACTTAAAGGGGGAGCTACACACAAAGCCTTGTTGGACTGAGGGGTATTTGTAGCTATATGGTGTGATTAATCATTTTTAATTTAATCACAGTTCTAATATATATATATATATATATATGTAAGAAATAGGCCAAACAGTATGTTTACTGACAAGTTTTTTACCCACTAGATGCTCACTTGCAATACTGCATGATAATAATTAGGTGTAATGCACAATGCAGTCATCTTACAAGGGCATTGTTGTGGTCGACAGAGAAGTTGCAGACCAGCCACGTGTCGGGATCATTTTCGTTTGTTGCCATGATCTTCCTGATGGCTGACAGATAGAGTACATCTCTCTGAGAGGCAGGCCACACTCTCTGAAACACAACCAGAGACATCCGTCAAGTAGGCAAATCAAATTACAGATCAAACGTGCAATGAGTTTCAGCAACGACTAAAACCACCATGAGGTTAATTTACCTTGTGTGTCTGGTAAACAATGATGGCATTATCAGAGAGCTTTTCCACAACGTTGAAATTTTCAATGGTGGCTGAGGAAGGAAGAGTTCAGTCAGTTCACGACAATAAAACAGAGAAAGTCAAGACAGTGTTGATGTTATGGTGACTTCTGAAATAGTGAACTTACTCTCCCAGTCCATTCGGACATCTGTGTCCCAGAAGTAGTGACAGACCTCATGTCCCGTCACCCCCTTCACACAATGTGTAGCTTTGAGAGGATCCAGGACGATACCGTTCTCCTCCACTTCTCTCCTGTACACCTGTTCCACACAGTGCAGAGCGTGAGACACAACAAGTCAGTACTGTAAACATATTCACAACCTCACTACAAAACATATGAGGGACCCTCTTAATTGACTGATAAGCTAATTTTTCCTGTTTGAAAACTTAAAAGAATGTGAAATTAATTCATATTTGAATGTGTGGAGCCAACAGTGGTTTGTTTAGGTAACATTTTTAACTACTGATAACTTATTTTAAGGATTTGATGAATTATTTTCACATTGTGACATGAATATTTTTAACTGATAAATTTTCCCTGCTGCTGATTTATCAATGCACAGTAGCTTTTAAAAAGCGAATGGGATTTGAATATTCACAGCTAGCAAACAAGGGAAATGATTCATAGGCAGCCTCTCTCCTCTAGACTCACCTTCATCTCTCCTTCTTCTATTACCAGCTGCCAGTTGGCATCTCCACCCACATCCTGAAGAGAGTAAGTCATATGATTCTGCACCATCTCCTCCACCTAAGAGACAGACATACATTGATTAAATTCATACGTTAGGGAGTCTTTTACTGTTCTTTACATGATTATTTAAGGACATGCTTTGAAACTGGACACAGCCCAGGGAAAAGAAGAATATATTTGTATCAGGTGTGCTCCACTCAAGTTTAATGATTTACAGTCTTGAGCAATCAACACACCTAGCACCTCTGCAGGTATTTTTTTTTTTTTTTACAAAGTTTTGAAGACCATCAGAATCTTGGGAATTCCTTAAACAATTTTACTAGCCAAGTAAATATTTAACACATGATCCTGCTTGCGGGTGTTATTGAACATCCCAATAAAGCCTTATGATTACATACATAGACAGTAGTACAAGTACATAGACAGTCTGGATTCATGCCTGCGCGTGCTGTGGAAGACAGAGTGACGAGAGGAGAGGAGGAGAGGTTTCACTAGATTCCAACCATGCAGCATTAGACTTTTATCAGTGGAATGATGAAAGCTGTTATGTGATGAAGACATTTTTAATGTTGTCCTGTTAGGTTTTTTTTGACTTGGTGCATCATGTAAGATTATAATACCAATGACTTTGGTGTAAAAATCTACTCAAAAACCAACGAAATCCTGGAGACAGTGGTTAGTAGATATTCTGTTACTATCTGCTCATGCTCTCTCTGACTGCGGTGAAAAGCAGTAGGCGTTTGCATCCCCTTGCAGATACAGGTACTCTCTGTCGACCTGATACAGTACCTGAGCGCTGAATCTGTGAACGTCATCCAAAGCACTGACCAGCTCAGTGGAAGACAGGGAAGAAGAATGGCTATGGAGCTGTACCGTAGAAAGAGCGTTAAAAAAGGGAGAGAGATAAGGAAAAAACTGAAAGAGGTGCCACTGCAGCAGACCAACGCACACAATCAAAATTTGCTCAAGTAGCATTTCATTTGAAGAAATTATGTAAGCTCAAAAAATACGGCAGTAAGCACAAACTGATTTGCTCAGCCAACAGATTAAGTTCAGAAAAATTGCAGGGCTTAACAGACAGGTCACACTGGTTGTGAGCTGACTAGGCTTCCATCAGGATGGAGGAGTTGCAGAAAAGAGGAGCAACCTGTAGCCGTAAATAGCATAGAAATAAAAGTGGACATTAAAGAGATTATAAGAAATGTGTTGAGCACCTTGTTGGCCAATCGGTGTGTACCAATGGTGGAGTAGGCGTCTCCAGATGTAACCGAAGAAGACTGAGATATCCTGACCTTCTCCGACTGGCACTGAAGGACACAGAGCAGAAGTTTGGTAAGAGAGAGATTAAGAAGACACACACTGGACTACAAAGACACGGAACATCTCTGTATATAATGTATGTAACTGTGCTTAAGACATTTTTTCCAAAACGTAGAAAGAGAACAGTAATGCAGGGAGGAACAAGAGATATTCAATGTACCTTCTACACTAAATGTATAGTTGTTTAATACATCCAAACTGTACAGGACATTTTAACTATGCAAAATGGAGTAAATTTAGATCTCACCTGCTCCTCTATCTTGTCTTGTCTGTCCAGTGCCGCCTCCACTGCATCAAAGAACTCATCTTCATTGATCAGACTGTTTGGACCCTCCTGTGAAGACGCGATAATGAACAAATGCTGTAAGATTTATGGGAATCCCGTGAGAACAGCCCTGACCAAGTGCAGAATGATAAAAAAAAAAAAAAAAAAAAAAGCACATGTGCATGCACTCATTGGACGAAGTCAAGAAATCATTCTGCTGTGGTTTATCTAGCCATTTCTACTCCATTTGGTTTATCTAAGTTCATCTTGCCTCATAGTCTGGGCCTCCATAGTGTGACTTTTTCTTCAGTTCATGCATAGCGGACTTGTAGGCATCTTCTACCCTCCTCCTCTTCTCCAGCTCCTGTACAACAGGTAGAGCAGTGCAGTAGGGTTAGTGTAACTGTAGTTAAGCAATAAATGATAATGACAGCATGTAAACAGACAGGCCAATCAAGTTTGCAAAAAAAAAAAAAAAAAGAAAGTAGAATAAAAGAGAGGTCTGCATGTCACAGTTTGGCAAACCCACCACATCGTTCAACCGTGTGCGCACTCAAACAGGTTTTACCTAATGTCTCATTCCCTGCCAGAGGCAACACAGCACACCTCCCACAGATGAACCACAAACAACAGAACACTGCTGTACAATAGAGAACTTACATCCAGTTCCAGATCTACTGTGTTCATTATCTATAACTTAAAAGCAAAGGAAACATAACAAACCAGTCTGAGCATTTGGTCTCTTTGTGTGAACAAATAAATCAAGAAACATTTGCCATGGAGACTCTGCTTTGTTCATATTTCAGACAGAGTTTATCCACACTGGAATAAGAGAAAGCAAGCAAACAGAAGCAGTTATAGGTAAAAGTATACTGTAATATATAAGTATACTGTATCAAAAGTTCTCTGCAGAAAATACATGGGGGGAGACAAGAGGGAAAGAGACAAACAAAGTGTCAAGGAAGGTGTTGACATACAACACTTCCCACTAAATAAACAGGAGGAGATCCTGTTGTCAGATGTGTGTAACAGACAGACACCTACTGTAAAGAAGCGGCTGCCCGTCTGTAAGGGTATCCATTTCTGTGTCTGGTATGTGAGCAGCTCTGTCCTCCTTTGTAGCGAGGGCTTCCATAAACTGCACCATGAAGTCCGAGCAGTCATTTTCTAATTTACTCTCTGTCCAAGTCTGGTCAGGCGTGTCTTGTTCCTTTTGAGTGTGTGTTCTGAAACTATTTCTATTTCCCTACTCCACATTGGCAGCTAAACTTTACACATATAACCAAACACAGATAAGAGTGAGGTAGTTTCACTTCAAACTAACTGAGAGAGCTACCCGGCTTTTGTAAGTTTTAGGGTTGGGCAGCACGCCTTTGCACACAGAGAAAAAAAAAGAAAAGAAACTGGTTTGACAACATCAGCTGATCAGGATGCATGTGCAGCACCAAACAGCTTACCTTTACAGACACACAGTGCTCTCTAGATGAAATAAAATCAATGAATGGATGCGTGTTATGGGAACTCCAATCACACACAATCAAAGAATAAACAGGTTAAAGCTCGTTGTGAGCAACAGGTGCATTTGTGCTTCTGGTAGGAAAGTGTGTCAATTGTGCGTACAGCCATTAATATTACATTTGATATAGCTGCTTTACAGTAATCACCCATAAACCAGCTACATCCAGTAAAATATACAACTTTTCAGTAATCTGGACTATGGAATTTAAAGACTCTTGAATTGTTCTTTTTTCAATGCTGATTGTCTTTTTTTTTTTTTTTTTGACCATCAATGCTTTACGTTTACAACTGGCAGTTGAACAGGGAGTTATACTGTGAAATGTCTTGCTATAGGAACCTTCCATTAAGTCATGTTAACATTTCCCATTAAAAATGTATTGAGACTACCATAGCAACAAATTGCTTTACAAGATACAGTGTAAGTTACCATATAAATATGAAAAAATAAATCTGGAACAAATAAAGACATGAACACATACACCTGTTAGATCTTCCATAACCAAGGGAGAGTTTGAGAATGGGGACTTGTAGAAGGAGAACTGAACTACATCCTAAGGAATGTCTAACCTGTTCATTAATAAAGATATATATTTTATAAAGCAAAACACTGTATTTCCCATCGACATGACTGTTTTCACATACAACAATCATGGATAGACATGGCCAGCAGAATGTTGCACCACAACCTGATCACCTGAAGGGCAGAGCCCAAAACATCAACTCTTGGTCATAATAACCATCTCTTTAAAGACAATGGAAGGCGACAATTAGCCCCTCAGTCTGCGACACTTCCACACAGCTAACACGCCCACTCAGGAAACCGCCTATTATTTACATGACGCATGAGAGTGCAAGAGCGGACCTTGTCCAATCTTTTCTGCCAGCTGTCCTCTCGTTTGACCATCAATTCGATGCAGTGGGACAACGTAGAGAGGATGCCTGCGGTTGTGGCCTTGAAGGTGATGGCCTCACCCTTGAAGTCAATCCCGTTGATACCTTTGGGGCTGGCAGGGGGAAACACTGGCACAGACAGAAACAAAAAAGAATGTAATAGCCGCCTCATGACTTAATTAAAAATAGACATTCTAGCTTTTCACATTTAAAATGAGTACGCTATTACCAGGCCAAGCAACCAAAATGTATTTTTTCACACATATTTGCAAATGAAGCAAAGAATGTTTGGATAGTATCTCCAAGTAAACTCACATTTCTCTTTGCTGCCATTATTGTTGTGATTATATTCACCATCAGGTCTTGTAGTGGTAGGAAAGTCGTCTTCGTCCTCCTCAACTAATAGTAAGAAAAACAGCAGTAAGTTTAGATCTATCTACAATCTATATGACCACAATATAAAGGGGCATTAATACATAAACTTATGGCTTATAGCTTATAGTTATGTTAAATGACATACTCTTATAGCTAAGAGTATGTCATTTAACATTTTCAAACCTATTCAACAGGACTAGAAGGAATTGCAACGTTTTCTTAATTGGACAATTGTTGATGAAACAATCTAACATTTCCTGCAAAAAAACAAACAAAAAAACAACAGCAAATTTAAAACAAATTTAAATCTATTTAAACTAAATCTCTGACATGATCAGATAAGCAACACTGATGCATTTATACCACGTTACCTCGGTCTCTCTGAAATTCATCTTTGGAGACCACATCAGCACAGGAGTCAAAGTATTTCTGCAGGGTGTCTACTTGTCTGCACAGAATGTCCCGAAAAGTTTCCATTTCTGCTAGCTTCTCACGCAACCTGTGCCCCTTCTGTGCAGAGAGAAACAGAAGTACAGAGATGCAAACAACAGCAAAAGAAAATTAGACAAAAGGCTGTCAGAGGAAAGAGTTTATTTCAGTTTTTTGTTGTTTCAACCATAAGCAAAGATGATTATAAAAAAATAAACACAAAATGCTAATTATTAACACTAACACAGAAATATTGCCAGAATGACTTGCCAACATGTCTGGCATTATCTTTCAACTCAATCACTTGTGACCATGCTTTTTTTTCTTCTTACCTTGAAGGAGGATGTGGATGTGGCAGACAAGGCACTGGCTGCAGAGGTGAGAGACAACATGGAACCATGACGCCTCAGACTGGTCTCTGAACCATAACCAGACTCGGCCTGCAATCCAGACAAGGGACAAACGGGAAAGAATGGAGGAATGAGTGGGAACGATGAAGAAGACAGGTAAAGAAAGATGAAAACAGAAAATGTGTGGAGAAAGAAGGAGCAAAGACGGGGAGCAGAGATCAATAAGTGCATAAAACACATTAAACAATATAAATAAAATAAGAAAGTCTGCTGCTCATCAAATCTAGACAGACACGGAGAAAAGGGAGATCAATTCTAGCAGTCAGCAACACTGAGTAATGCTGAGCTGCAACCGAGCAGGGCCTACACCTACACAAACAGTCTGTTGAAAGGGACTGGGGCTGACACACAGACACACGCACCAACCCGGCCAACAGACCTGATACGAGGTGGTTGGGATACAGTGTAATTTATTTCCACTGTTCCTCAGAGTGGACAAATCTTGGCTGGATTGGACTTTGTGTAGGAAAACAGTGTACTGGGCCATAAAATGTCCTGTCTCACATGGCATTATAAAACAGATAAATGACTGGGCATTAGGGAGTGGCAGTGACTGCATTTGTTCCATTAAACAGCCAACTTACAACCAGACAGGAATTGCCCCCCACCAAAGAAAAATATTCTTGTTTGTCTCACATACAGCTGTTGAATGTTATCCACTATATTAAAGAGAGAGACAGCAAATTCATGACCAGATAATAGAGTCCAACACTTAAATTCATTGCTTAACTCATCCAGTAGAAACAGCGATATGGAGCCAGTGTGACAGACATAAGTATGAAATTCTTTTATGTATGAATCAGGACCCTAACATGCTGGTGCTTTGTTTTGAGTTTGAATTTATTTGCTTGGGTTTCATGAGTAATTTTCCTCGATTATTCAATTAACAAGAGACTGTTAGTTATTCTTGTTAGCCAGTTGGCATGCAGAGATATTTCTTGAGAACAATGAGCAAACAGAAGAGGGAGTCAGGTGACAAATGTGAGAGGGAGCACTGTGCAGACCATCAGAAAAAATCTCCATGTTTGCTGTTCAAGGGTATGTTTACATTCATACAATCCTGTGGTTTCTATGATTTAAGATTAAGATTTAAGTAACAAATTTAAGCATTTACATAGTTAAAAGTAACACATCATATACTCTCCTAATCACGCAGGTCTGCATGCAGTGGGTTTAGTTAATAATTGGGAAATTTACTCAGAAATAAATGGTGTGTGTTACAAAAAAACAACCCTTGTCATATCATATATAACTATTATCAATGAAAATCCCTATCAGATAATGTATGAACTGAAATCAAAAACTGAAACATTTGGTATATTTATGCAAGGCACACATAAAGTCAGTGGAATACAGCATACAATAGAATGAAATTCAACAATGCAACTCCAGCTGTAAAAATTACCTGACCCATTCTAAACAATAATTGAACATTACAACATTCACAAAGTTAAAATTAGAGCTGTTACTAAAGAGACATTACAGCTCAATTAAAAAAAAAAAAAAAAAAACTCTGTAGAAAATAGTGGGTTTTCTCATGTAAGAAATGACTATGAGTGTAGATATTTGCAGCTGAAACACGCTGGTAGCCAAAAGTCAAAGTGGTTAACTGTTAGTCTAAAAACAACGTACTGGTTTTTGACAGGCTGGACTGTAACTGGCCAGTCACATTCCTGCAAACAATAAAGCAAGTGGCAGTGCTGAGTGCCAGGAGTGTTCATTTTAAACTACAAATTGAAGTCAACGACAGTTGACACTTTGACTTGTGCTCTGGAAAGTGCTTCAGCTACAGTGTATTGCAACTGAATGCTCAACAAATTATAATGTTTTGATACCTACGGTGCCACAGGAATTTTATTTCTTAACTGCTTCCTTAATGCATTTATACAACACTGAGGTTTAAATTAAATCATCCTCACTGTTAGTGTAATGCATTTCCTGCTACAACAAGACCTTTTACAAACAGCTGACCTTTTGACACAGCCGGCATTTCAAACACCTGATAATGACGGGTAGGTAGTTACATGGGTAAATAAACGTTTTAACAAAAAGTGGTGTTAAGGACTATAAGCTTTTCTTACAACACTGTCAGGATCGGATTTACTAAAGTTTATTTTATTTGGTCAGAGTGAGATATTGTGCAGGTTGCTGAAACCATTATTACTGTATTACTAGTTTGGGCAGAGACCAAAAGGCAAAGCAATGCACTGCAATGAAGCGATGACGACCAATCTGAGACACCCCCAGAGACAGCCATCTTTATGCACCTGGTCAGCTGCATGACACAACCATGCAAACTGAACACCCACTCATACACAACACATGAAACAGCATCTTGTGCACACGCCTTTGTGATGTTAATGAGATGAGTCTAGAGTAACTGACCATAGCAACCACCACTGAGTACTTCTACACATCCGAGCACACTGCTGTTTAGGGAATTACCTCTCATTAAAAATGCTGGTAGTCCAGCACACACCCACGCTGCATAAGCTTCATTTATAAAAAGATAGTGACTGCTTTCTTATAAGGATTAACATGCAGTGGGGTACAGTGCTAAAGCTAGCCTACCAGTGCTATTAATGTGAAAAACTGCATGCATGTAAACAGAGAAAAAGCGTTTATTCACTATATGGATGAGGGAACATGTACAGTAATTATTCATGTCACAACACTGGCATACTAATTAAATATAAATACTTTAGTGATGAGTGACAGTGAGAAAGCAGCATGCCAACATGCTATAAGCCCACCATTCTGCCATTCCGACAGCCAAAGCAGAGCAGGACACTGCTGCAGTCCCGGCAGTTTGCTGCGCTCAACATGGCCCAGACGCTCCCCCAACACTCCCAATGTTCTGACAATTCAGAGGCTTAAATCCAGTATTCCCGTTTCCCTGGACACACCTCACTGACGAACAAAAGGGAAGAGGAGGAGGTGGAGAGGAGAAGCTATACAGCTTAGCGTAGCTTAGCTCATCAAGTAAAAGAAAGCAGTGATAAGAAAAGGAAAGATAGAAGAAAAAGTAGTTATTGGTTCCGTAGCAGACAGAGGAGAGGAAGACACTAGATGCTCCATGAAGAAGAAGAGATGGACTGAGCCGAGAGGAAGAGTCTGGTAATTCCTCGGCAGATCGAAGCAGGTCTGCTCTCAATCGCTTCCTCTGCAGACACGCAAGTGGACTCAAAGATACACATCAACATGCACGCCAGTTGTTCTGCATACATATATCAACAGACCACACACCCTGATACGTGAAACCTTTTCATCTTGTCTATCTTTATGTCGGGCACCCTTTACTGAGCAAGCAACTGTGCCTCGCTGTGTTTGCATGGAAGAAAGAGACCGAGAGAGGGGTAAAAATGAAGGGTGCATGCATGTATGCATTAGAGAGAGAGAGCGAGAGAGAGAGAGACGAGGGCTGTCTGGAGCTGTTTGTGTGATAAACTGCTGAAGTACTAAAAGGGTGGGCGAGTGAAGCAGCCAGCTATACATTATGACAGAGAGAAAGAAAGCGCAAGAGAGAGAGAGACAGAGAGTGGGAGGCAGGGAACAACATTTGTATGGATCTTCTGCTTTACTTCTACCCACCTCACTCTCCTTTCATTTCTTCCTATTCTGATACGCTGACATCCCCTTGTGAAGTCTGATCTGGACCAGTAGTGTTCAGACTGTGCCAACAACCGACCTGACGAAGTGGTGTTAAAACTACAGATAAAACAAGGGGTTTTCCCCATTCCCTCCCATATCACCCCTCTGAATCTGACAAAATGGAACAGTCTTCTCAGTTGTGATCAATGTGTCCCTCTTAAATTTTGTTGCTGTGAGAACAAGCGATTTCAAAAAATTCATTATTCATCAAGAGCTGCACTTAATGTCCCTACACTTAGCACGACTTTTCCCTCCACCAACACAAACACACCCACGCATAAAAACACAATGGGCTTGCACAAAAACGGCTTTTTCTTCCCTTAACAATAACTGCCTCATTTTGTAATATGGATAAATGCAAATGCTGGTTGTTCGCATTTGCAAAGTGTCTGATAAGAGACACTTAAATGCTGTATTCATGACTTGTTAAACAAATATTAAACCACATTTATAGCTGTTAGAAACTAAGATAAACCCATCATGAGCCAAGTAGGCGGCTGGCAGAAAAGTTTCCTACAACATCTCAAAATATTTTAAAAAGTCAAATGTTTGTACTTAAATTAACTGACCAGGCTTTACAACAGGAGGCTGAACATTAAACCAAACGCTTAATGCTTTAAGGAGTAAGTTTATTTACTTGTAACAATTCAAAATCTATTATTTTTCATCACACAGATGTTGGACAGTTGGTCTATGTATGAATATGTATTCTACTGCCACCTGTTCTTTTGTGATGAGCTTATTTTCACCATTGGAAATGGAAGAGAAAACTACAAATATATTTATTCATCAATATTTGCAGAACGACTAGTGAGTATCTTTAAACAAAGTAGCAGAAAAGTGACACCATCCTGAGGTTGCCAACACTGGTACTCATTCATTCTGACACAAAGACAAAGTTAACATTGCATGGTGCAAGCCTTTCTTTGTCCAGTTGGGAGCAGTGCTGACACACCCACTTACAGTGAGCAAAGCTGCAGGTAGTGCAGCATTTCAGCCCACTGAGGTTAATGAAGGGCACAGCCCAGACATAACCCTGAAATACTCTCACACTGTTGTTAATGGACAAGAGACCTGCGGTCACTCGCACTCAATTGACATGCCAACATCCAGTAGCTCTACAGAAACCATCCACAGCGCCATTTTTGTAGAGAAGCAGGACTAATGAGAGTTCACAGAATAGTGATTATTTTTTCAAGTGTGGTGTGTTTACTGTGGTCTCTCAGCTAATATTTTTTATTTGGCAAACACAAGCAAAACAAATAAAGCATTTCCATAACTCAGAACCACTTATGCACTGGTTAACACAGACCTGTTTTTTAGTCTTACACAGACATTTCACACAACATCACAATGTTTGGCATTACCCAGGTTTTTGTTGGTCTGTAGGGTTTTTGAATACTGTATGAGCAAATCAATAAAAACTAAAATATAGATAAAAATAAGACTAAATTGATGGTTAACTAGCTTAATATGTACTACTAATGCAAACTTATCAAATTCAGTTAAGTATGTCTAGCTGTATCAGCTAGTAATGGATGTAACAATGGTTTACAGCATTATCTGTTGCACGTGTAATAGAATGCAGTTTTTCTATGCAATATTTTATATTCTGTATCCTGACAAAAGAAAGAATGAACTAAAGCAGATATGTTTGGCCTGTTTTTTTATATGTGCATTGTGTTGTTGTGAAAAAACTGCCTTTGTCTAAATGTTGCCACTTTGTTTGTTATAAAGTTACAAAACACATCTGGTCTACTTTATCTCAACATGTTTAAGACGTGATCTTTGTGTAATAGTGTTTGCAGCAACCCAAGAGCATTACAGATCCCAGGCTAATGAACTCCTTAATGAAAGGCTTGCTGAAGTCATGACTAATAGGACACCCACACAGTGCACACATAAACCTAAATACAACCTTTGACACACTAACTATCTGAACCACAGCACTTCTTCAGTAAGCCATAACAACATATTCAGTCTGCTTTATAACCCTTATGTTGAGAAACCATACATCATTAACTAGATGTCCTTGCAGAGTGAGCAGCTGCCTGGTATCTGATGACAGGGGATACCCCCACCTCAACACCTCACTCCTCAGATTCCTCACATTCCCAGGGTAAATGGCTCTGTGTGTGTTTGTGAATGTGTGTCCGAATCCCTGTCCAGCCACACCCAGCTCACTGAACAAAACAGATAACACCCTGTCTGTTCCGAAAAACACCCTGGCCCAAAACTGAACGTGAATGACTGAAATAGGTGAATAATGCAGCAAAACAGTGTTTTCAGTGGGCGATTAGGCAAGCCAAAAAAAAAAAACTTAAAATGTATAATAGTATAATAGCCTACAGGACTTACACCATATGGCCTAAGAAAATTAATTTAAATTCTTGACAAGCACCAAGCAAATCAAAAAAATCCCTGAGCACAACAGGATAATTTCAAGCACACAGAGCATCTGTAATATTAATTAATATTTCAGGGTATTGCAGCTGACTTTCTTGCAGTTAGGCAAATTCCCATGAATCACAACAAAGTCTGTATGACAAGCAAACCAAAGTGTTAAAAGAAGCTGGAAAAATCCACAAAATCTCTGTTGAAGAAAGAGAAACACGTGCTACTCACCTTGTGCAGCTCTATTGACTCAATCCACTGGAGTCTGTGCTCAGGATCTTCAGCCCTGAGGTACCAAACACTGTCGTTCACGCTGATGTCAAAACGACACTCGTCAAATTCATGAGGCTGTACAGAAAGAAGAGAGGGCTCATGAATAGTTATTAGGCAGAGTGCATGAGTCATGTCAGGAAATACTATCACCAAATCCAAATATCTTTATTTGAATACCGAAACACAAAAACTCACTGTGACAAATTTCCCTGATTCAATAAAATCACTCAGGAAAACGGAGCAAGGAATCCTGCAGTAACACTTCTATAAGTCATCTGTCTGTTTATGACACTGGCTGACTAGTGGTGACACATTCTGGACACACATGGATTCAATCAGTCACAGAAACACGTCTGCCACACAATAAACAGGAATTTTAATTAGAAACTGATGTATTATGTCTCAAACCGCAACCCTACACAACCGCAGCAGAGCTATGCAAAAAACAGATATTCTTCCAGCATGCCTTTGTCTGATCCTGGGTCACCACGACCGTTCCTTCTACTATTGGGCCAAATCTTTCAGCTATTTCACTCCCCCATTCTACAATGCACCCAGCCCAGCTCCAACTACTGACCAGCACCCAAACACGTGCACCAAAGAATTCCCCCGTTTCCTCTGAGACTGGAATTTAACCGCTGCACTCAGCTGAGGAGAGATCTGCTGTGTTAAATTCTCTAATAAGAAATAAGACACAGGTGACTTGAATCTCCTCCCTGTCTTTCTCCTCAGTAGCAACAAGACTACAGCTGCTCTGTCAGCTGACATAACCTCATGTTGTCCAAGTTTAATTAGATTTGCAGAATGACACTCATGTGCTGCCACTGACAACAGCAACATACACTCCAACTCGCAAAACAAACTGTCAGCCTGCATAACTTTATGCAACATTGTTTTAACAGTTTAACACTGGTATTACATTTTACAGGTTGTATATCTTGGATGCTGACAGGGACAAGTGCTTTTCTCTGCCCCCTTGCTTTCTATTACAGTCAGACAACCTCAGAGAAAAAGTCTCCCCTCAGACAGGTGTAACATCAAAAATGCCCTCCAGTTTCAAAATTTCACTGTAAAGAAGGCATGCTGTGGTGACCTCAAGTGCACCCAGCCATGATGCCATTACTGGTTAGAGAAATCCAGTCTATCTTACTGTGCTGTATCAGACACGGCCCATAAACCTCTGCTTTACAATCCAATTTATACCTCTTTCATTCTGCCTAGAACATTTTCTTTCCCCTTGCATAAGCACTACTGTCCATGCTGCATTGGCTTTTTCCCTTGTATAGGATTGTGGCATTTTCAGTATAAGGAATGAGGAGGTAATCAGTCAAACACTGATGGTCATAGTTCATAAAAAGAGACATAACTTAGTTTTTTTCTTCTGTGAGGTGTCTTTACACTAGTGTGTCTGCATACAGGTTTGTATTTCAAGTAAAATACTATCTTAACACAATAAATATAAATATTTACTATTATTCATACAAGGGTGCTCTGTATAAACTGACATGAAACACTAATACACAGATACAAGCTTGAACTGATGTGAGCTTTTGATAATGGATCTTGGCCTATGATAGGAATTCTCAGACAGTAACATTTCCTTCAGATTTTGCCTCCGTGCGAGGACAGTCTGGTGTCTGCAGCTTCACAATGTGCAACAGACTGATGTTAGGCAAGAAGAGAAGCAGAGGCATGTTTCTGCATTCCTGACTACTCAGACCAGTCTCCTTAGACAGCACTGGCTTTGGATGTTTAGAAAGAAGGAAGAGCCAGTAAGAAGTGGCTGTGTGGGTCATATTACTCTAATTATGAGTGAGCATGGGTAATTAAACTGTGTACACTCTAAGTTAGCCTACTATAACAAAATTACAAAACACTCTGAATGGTGTGTGGAGTTCCATTCAGATCAGCACAAACACAACAATGCTCACGGAAATGACCACTCTCAGCAGAAGAAACTAACTATGTTTTCCTGTTATTGTTTTAATCCAGTTTTGAGTCATATAATCCTATTGCACAAATCACAGCAAAACCATTTGTTTGGCCTCTGTACTTGGTGGCGGTATGCTCAGAAAGATCAGTGAATATTTAACCAGGGTGCAGGATTTCAGCTTATCTCACCAACAGGAGGCCTGCATAGGGAGAATACAGGTCCAATCTCTACAGTATGTGGTTATAAGCTTACATTTTAACCGTAGGAATGCCAAATTCTGGTAGCCTGTGCAATAACTGCCATGGAGGAAGAGGCATGGGAGTGTGCCCCAAAGACTGCTGGAGCAAGAATGCCTTCGCTAAAATAAAGGTCTCAATCCTACCTGTTATCTTAGTAATTGCTTCATTACTAGTTAATGTTTACTGTTTTATCTTTGAGGAACATAGATTGAAGGAATAAAAGTTCAGGTCCATGCTAATGACAAAGAAAGACAGGATTAAAACATTGCCACTTCTTCCAGAGTTAACTTCATTCATGATCCCCTACCTTATGAGCCCTTATTCACTGAAATGTTGAACAGGTCCTAAGCTCATTCTGCTGTCTATCTGTGCATTAGATCGCAGAAGAGTAATGTTCCCTCCTCCTATCAGAGTAAATACTTACTGTGATGACAGCCTTGCTGAGGCAGAGAGACCCCCTGCAGCCGTACTCCCGTTCATCCTCCGACTTGTAGTAGCTCAAAGTATTGTTTTTCAACACGACCCATCGGTCCTGCCATCCGTGTATGTAATTTGTCCACTGTAAACACACAAGAGATACAGGACAAAGAGTTAGCTGCACTTCGCAATCAACAGAACCTTAGCCAAAATGATGTGCATGCAGGAATTAATCCTGCTGTCGCAGCTCATTAGTTATGTCCACCTTGCTTTCAGGCTAGTAGTGTGTTATTAAGACACATGAGCTAAAAGTTATTTCTGCATCATAAAACACTGTAACATTCAACGTAATCCACTTACCTTGCTTAAAATGCCTCCGAGCTCCACAGGCTGTCCAGATTCTGGGTCCACATCCTCATCCGATCCGGACGATGAACTCTTCTCGGACATTTAAATCCAAGATTCGAAGACAACTTGACTCCGATTTTATCGACAGAGCAGAATAGCTTATCGCTAGCTGCTGGATTAGTTATCAGTTCAAACGCGTCACTGTCTAACCTGCTGACAGCTTCTTTAATTTAGCTTAACGCCAACGAAATAACGTTAATTAGGCATTAACTGAGTGTGCAAAACATCGGCTGGATAGCGTAATTTATCTAAAGTCGTTTGACAGACTTCAATCAAGATAGCTTGTTTTGTAGCAAGCTATTTTAGAGGTGACAGCTGAGTCCCAACTTCTCGGTTTTGCGGGCTTTGTTTTGAAACTGACGTCGAATACCAATGAGACTAGCTAGTTAGCGTTAGCTGTCAAACGACGCAACTAGCTAACATTAACTTAACGAGCAACTTGTGACTGTTGTGGTTAGCTCTCTTAGCTGCAGTCCATACGCTACTCGCAAGAGTGAACGATAAAGAAGGCCTTAATGTTAACGCTGTACCTCAACTTCAGTCTACAAATGACGATCAACGGGCTGTACTGCTGCTGTAGTTCCGCAGTTTAGTTAGCCGTAGCGGAGGACTGACTAGCTTGTCTTCATTCAGGTCCGGTGGGCTTGGGGCGGGGGGAGCTGCGGCCACGCTTTACTGTGTACCTACAGAGAATGGCGTCAAGCTAAATACAGTTACAGCTATGCCGGAAGTTTAACATATCTACTTTCAAATTAAAAGCAATACGTTGTCATGTTGGGATTGCAGTGCAATCGAAACCGTGAGAAAAATCAGTTGAAGAGGTGGGAAATATTATTTCATTTTGGCACAGATTACTCCGTATATATAAATATTGGTGTTACAGATATTGTGTGTCTCAAATACCATGTTGCATTTACTTACACACGCGTACTTTGAAAGAAAAGATACCGGAAATGTACCATTTATTTTAGATAACTTAATTTGGATTTTGGAAATGGGTTAAATGCTATGAATGTTTTGCAGTTGAAACAAAATTTCAAGCAATATGGTTATGAGTGAATTGATCAATTGGTCCAGTTTTATTCTGTAGAGCTGTGGGTCTACTATAAATCCTCTAGCTCGACATGCTTCAAACTATGCCAAAGGTTACATTTCACAGTAATTTCTGTGCCCAGTTATCTTTCAGTAGACCGCTTTCTTGGAGTGTCCTGTGCACTTTAGACACACTGTTAACGCCTAAGTCTAGGGTTCATGAGGCTTCATATGAGGAGAAATTACCAATAATTTCAAGTCTAAAAGGAAACTTTGTAAGGGTCATGAGGGTAAAATGATATAACTAATTATGAAAATTATAGGTAGTTTAAAGGAAACCATTTTTTCAAACAAAATTTGAATTGTAAAATTTAAGGAACTAGACAGTTTCGAAATCCAGGCTAATATAAACTGCAAATACACGCATCTAAAATGATCTGGAGACACTTTATGTTGGTATTTGGTTTATGTTATAGCTTATTTGAAAAGGGGTAAAAGGTGATGTAAAGCTTCTATTAATGGCACAGTGCTGTCTCAAATGCCCATTCAGTCGTACAAAACGTCCTTTGATGATAAATTCAAAAATGTATTTATTTACAGAAGTAAACAATGCAAACCCCGCCCCTTCCGGCAACGACGAGAGTACGCGGAAGTGCCGCTAAATTCGTCATCGGTTTCAAAACCCAAAACATGTACGGGCATAAGCTTTAGACAGCTGAGAGACTTTGATTCAGAGTGACTGTTCTTGCTCAAAGTGCAAAGATTAGTTTCTGAATCAGTGTTTTTTTTTTCTATTTAGCTCAAGAAGGCGCAAATGTAATGGGAAACGTTACTACGATATCTTATAGCTTTATCGGCTAACTTTTGAAAGCTGAGATCGTTAAAAATTGGACCATACTGCCTTAAAACAAACGGCTGTTTTCCCATCAAGGGTCTTTTCTTCAGGATGGAAAATGGAATTGCATCCACTAAAGGAGAGGGCTTCCTCTCCAGAATGGCACTTAATGACAACAAGGCCGGTATGGAGGGTCTTGACAGGGACAAGATTAACAAGATCATCATGGAGTCATCGAAGGTACACTCTGACTACTGAAAGGCACCTGTTCAGTTAGTTTTGTGAAGTACCAGGAATTCGTCATACACACATCCTCCGAGTCATACACATACAAATTGTCTCTTCTGTGTCCGGATGGTGTGAATGATTCACCTGTCTAACCAGCAAAAATCTGAACAAAGGGATGTGTAGAAAAGTGCAAATTAGGCTCTAGTGTGCTGTGGACAGTATGAAATGTGAGGTCCACTTTTACAGATTGTGTCCAGCCTTGTGTGAAAGTCCCATATCCCCAATGTAATGACATGCAGTCCTAAAAAATAGATGTTCTACTGAATCTTTTCATTATATCTGTGCTACAGAATCTGTAACTCTCCATTGTCCTTGCCTTTGCCCTGCAGGGATCAAGGTTTTACGAGAATGAGCTGAAGAGAGAGCAGCAGGTGAACCAGCGCATTGAGAAAATGATGCTACAAAAGGCACAGATCACAGAGCAGCAGTTAAAGAAAGCACAAGCTCAGGTAATACAGATAACACTTATGCAGACAAACATGATGTGCTGTCAGATGAAGAAGCTGAAATTCAACCATTATGCTACTTAAATGTTTTGATCAAATCTCTCTTGTGTAGGTGGAGAAGGTCGCCTCAGCGCTGGAGAGGAGTCGTGATCTAAGCCGTGTGATTGTGCATGTGGACATGGATGCTTTCTACGCTGCTGTGGAGATGAGAGACTGTCCTGAGCTGAAGGACAAGCCCATGGCTGTAGGATCCATGAGCATGCTGGTGGGGTATAGAAAATAGAAAATTATCAGTATGTTTGAAATATTTACAGTACATCATTATAAATTTCCTAACCACAGTATAATGCAGCAATACCACATTTCCTCAAATAATAAGTACGAATAAGTCTTCATATGCATATATTACTAAATAATTCATACTATACATTCATTTCACAATATATTACTGTCAAATTAGAGATTATGGATATTTGAATCAGTACCAACATTATATGATGTCTTCAAAACAAATTTAGTATTCAGAAGAGAGTTTTGTATCTTAAATCCAGATTGCTTCTTCATGTAAAAGTTTTTTATATAGACCTCACCCTTTCTTTTTCAGTCAACATCTAACTACCATGCCAGGAAGTACGGGGTCCGAGCCGCCATGCCTGGGTTCATTGCAAAGAAACTCTGCCCCAACTTAGTCATCGTTCCAACTAACTTTGATAAATACAGAGCTGTGAGTGATGAGGTAAGAGCAATGCCAAAACACAAACACATACGAAGAGATAAAGTCATCTAGACACAGCAAAGGCTATGCAGCCCTTTTATGTGACTACTTGCTTTAACTGGTGGTCACAAATTTGTATCTCTCTGTTAGATCCGGGAAATTTTTGCAGACTATGACCCTCACTTCCAGCCATTGAGCCTGGATGAAGCCTATCTGGATTTTACAGACCACCTGGACTACAGGCAGAGCTGGCCGGAGTCCTCTCGTACACATCACTTCCGCGCCAGCAGCACCGCTACAGGCAGGACTTAATTATACGGAAATATAAAATGCTTATGTGGTGGATTGTGGGTTTTTTTGTTTTGTTTTTTTCTTTTTAACTGTAACTTTTGCCATTTTTACTGTTGACATGACAACATGACAGAAAAAGTTGTTGCATACACCAGTAATCCATCTGATTATCATCTGAAATCATGTCTTTCCTTTAAAGGTGAAGAGCAGAGTGAACTTCCCCAGGAGGCACTGCCAGAGGTGAAAGACCTGTCTCCTGTCCTGTTTGAGGACAGCCCGAGCACCTCTCCCTGCTTGCTGGGCTCTGGTGGTGGTGGTGGTGCATTCGAGGTGTTTGGGACGTCTGTGGAGGAGGCTGTGAGAGAGATGCGCTTCCGCATTGAGCAGAAGACCATGCTGACTGCCAGTGCAGGTGAGGGGAAAACCCACTCTGGTGTGACTGATGAATACTAATGTAATAATGATCTCTTTTGTATGCATTGCCTCCATTCTTTTGTTTAGCATTTTGCTTTTTCAATTACTTAGCTTAAGTTTTCTTCCTTCTCCCTCACCACTTCTGTTCTCACTCAATAAAAGCTACAATTGAAAAATACATAGTATAGGCAACTCTACTCTACTCACTCTAATTCATTGTTTACATTAACAACTGCTCAACAGTAACAATAAAAGTCTGCAATGTCAATCTAGTTGTTTAGACTTATGATCAACATTGTGCTTATGTTTTACCAGCTGTTCATTAACAAATATATCTTTCAATTACACTATTATTCACTCTCCTAGGAATTGCTCCAAACATGATGCTTGCCAAGGTGTGCAGTGACAAGAACAAGCCCAACGGCCAGTACAGACTCCCCTCCACCAGAGAGGCAGTCATGGACTTCGTCCATAATCTTCCAGTTCGCAAAGTACAGTACACATTGCTCAAACTAAAACATAAACAGTCTTTGTGGCGTTGCTGTTGAATAATTATGGAAAGATGTTAGAACGTAATCATGAGTTTTTGTTTTATTAAAGGCTGGAAGGTGTGATATGAAGTGACAAGTGATGTGCTGCAGACGGGGAGAAGATGGTTGAAGGAAAATCTATGTAAATATTTAAAAACAGTCAAAAAGGTTTTTGTGTATCCCTCCAGGTTTCTGGCATTGGGAAAGTGAGTGAGAAGATGCTCAATGCTTTGGGAATCAGTAGCTGTTCTCACCTTGGCCAGCAGATGGCACTGCTGTCACTGTTGTTCTCAGAGACAGCCTGGCATCATTTCATGGAGGTTTCCCTGGGTCTGAGCTCCACATATATACCGAGGTAATGTCTGTGTGTTTAGTGAAACTCAACATAGCTGATTGACAAAAAGAGACAATACTCACTGTCTTTGCTTTCATACAGGCATGAGGACAGAAAAAGCATGAGCACGGAAAGGTTGGTTTTTCATAAAGCATAAATAGACACCGACATAACTGAATTGATTCTTTCTGTGTCCCTCCTCTTCACTCTAACTCATTTTCTTCTGTGCCTTTTTATTTTTACAGGACATTTAAAGAACTGAGCAAAGCTGAGGAACAGTTTTCTTTATGCAGGGAGCTCTGTGAAGATTTAGCAGAAGACATGAAGAAAGAAGATCTGAAGGTACTGAATGTCAGAGTGGGTTACTTTATGCAGTAAGTGCATATATTCTGCACAAGTAGGTTGGAATGTGAACATTTTTGGCTTACACAATACCACATTTGATGTAAGACACTATCCTGGTTACATCAGCCATGCATGTGGTTTTATTTTGTAGTTGCAGCAGACTGTGCTCAGCTGGATTTTGCCTTAGAGGTCTAAAAGACTGTCTCAGAGAAATAACAAAGCAAACAAGCACAGGGAATATTTGAAAAGAAATGGACTTGGAGTCCTTGGTAAGAAAAAGGGAAAAAAAGAAATGCCATCTTGTTCTAGTCCACCCAAGAATCACAATGACTCCCAACCAAATCTCATACAATTACCTCAATCTGTTCGTTGCTTTTCCAATCGATAGCGAAAGCACGACCATCGCCCCCCTGCCTGGGTCCCGATGTGGCCTTGATAGCAGGAGGAAATGGAAGGCCATTAAGGAGACAGCAGGGGCTACTATCAGCCTGGGAAACGTCTCCCTGGGAGATGATCACATTACTATGAAGACGCTTTGTGGCGTGTTACAAAATGCATTCTGACAAATCAATCAGTGATATGACAGATTGTACAGGTTTACATTGCTTCTATTTATGTCCCTTCCATAAAGTACCATTGATTACGACAGTAATTAAGAGGTTGTTGAAAAAAAAAAAAGGACCTTAACTGTTTTTCCTAATGTATTTTCTTCATCTTCTTGAAGGGTAAAACCGTAACACTGAAGCTTAAGAACGTGAACTTTGAGGTGAAAACCAGGGCGCTGACGCTGCTGTGTGCTGTTGCTACAGTGGATGAGATCTTTGCTGTTGCTAAGGACCTACTGAAAACGGAAATAGAAAATGAAAGCCCCCAGCCACTCAGACTGAGGCTCATGGGTAATTAGATCGAGCAATATAACTGACATATCAATTAATATAACTAGCTTGAAATAAATCTAAATGATCTGTGACACGCTGCATGTGGAAATAATAACACAGTTGGCATTCATTTTGCAGTTTTCTCCAGATAATTTGTTTTTGTGCTCGTAGGTGTTCGGATTTCTGCTTTTGTCAGTTCGGATGATAAAAAGCCCCTGCAGAGGAGCATCATTGGCTTTCTTCAGCCAGGAAAGACAGACTCCAGTGGCTCTATCCAAGGAATGCACCAAAACCCTGAGAAAGAGCGTCTCACCAATCACTCCCTCCAAACCTGGGCCCTTACTTGTCCTCCCCCAGTCCAGAAGTGCCAGAAACAAGAGGAAGTTCCCTGGCGGAGCAAGCAGAAGGGGTTAGAGGGAGGTCAGACTGGTGAGGAACCCCAACAGTCTTTCTTCCAAAGGGCCCATGCCAAAAGATTGCAACTCCAGGCAGCGAGGTCAAGCACACAAGAGGAAGGACACGGGGAGAATGTTTCTGTCATTAATTCCATAGATTCTGATGCTCAAAAGGGTGTAGAGTCATCATCAAAAGCGCACAAGAGTACAGCCTCAGATCTCCCAGAAAACGACTTTGTTGAGGCCCAGGCATCCACATCAGGCTGTGGTGGCACAGCGTCAGAGAGCCTCACCTGTCCCGTGTGTTTCAAGCAGGTGGAGACGACTGATTTGAATGTCTTCAACAGACATATAGACCAGTGTCTCAGCGAATCTTCACGAAAACCAAATCGAAGCACAGATTCGGACTCAGAGTCAGATTTGGACTTAGACATTGTTCGTAACGGTTGTAAGGTGCTGGAAGAATGGAGGGAGGAGTGTGAGGTTAATGAGGAGAAGAACAGTGAAGAGTTGGAGTCGAACAGAGTCGATCCTCAGTGGCAACACGGCTTGAAAAACGATCCCACTCAAACGGTTTTGTTGATCAATGGTGACAAGGAAACCGTGACCTCGCAACAGCCTCAGTCATGTAATGATAAAGGCCCTGTCTTCATCTGCCCAGTGTGTCAGCTGACCCAGGACACTGATGACCTCACTGTCTTCAACCACCACGTTGACCTCTGCCTGAACCAGGAGGTCCTACATGAGCTGGGGGGACAGACATCATCTCGCATAAATACACCTCCAGTTACAAATAGCAAGGCCATAGGTGAGTGTGTGTATTAAATGACCCATCCTAACTTAACACATCCTGGGCTCCTTCTTTTCATTGTATTCCAATACTTAATTCTGCATTTTGTTCCGAGGTATGTCAGTGTTTCCAGCAAGGATCTAAAGTCCGGCAATGTACTGTATGTGTCTCTGCTGATGACAGATACAGTCCTGTTAGTAACATCTATAAGCTCCGGGTTTGGAGCTAACAGAAGGAATGTCTGTTTGGGAGACATCCGTCTGTGACCTATGACCTTGTTATTTACTGACAGTGACATTGTGTGAGAAGTCTGTATCAATTCCTACAGAGAAAAAGACAACTCATTTCACCCCATGGGGCTCTCTTTGCCCTGGTCTTGGAAATGGCCAAATCACTTTCTCACCTATTCATTTCCTACAATGAACTGCACTCTGGTTTCCTCTTAAACAATCCTGCCTCAGAAATTGCACTCTTTATATATCCCAGGAGAAGTGCTGCAATTGCGTACCTCCTCAGTGGATGTCATTTTTTTTGTCAGAGAAGAGAAAAAAATTGAGATTTTTTTTCTATCCATTTGTCCCTGTTCACAGATAGAGGCCATCTGCTGCCAAAGCAAACAAGTAAAGGCAAAAGCAAAAGGTGAGACTTCTTGATCACAAATTGCTGCTGCACAAAATGGTTACGTGGTCTCTGCATATACCACGTGCTGTAGGTGAAGTAGTGTGATTTTACAATTATGTCATTGTTTGTGTTGATTTCACAACTTTTAGAAAGGACCCGCCTTCCTCTCCTCCTTCGAAGAGAGCTAAAGGCTTCGGTCCTCACAACACTATTGACAGGTTCTTCAGGTGACGGTCATGCACACATCCTCATCTGGAGGATCTTGGAAAGCGTTCTACAGAAAATGAAATCCAGCTGTCCCCCGTCTCACTGAGCAGGTTTCGGTCATGCTGTGGACTCTCCATAAACTCAAACTGTCTTCACAATCGTCGCATTCAAAGCCATATTCAATTTTTCTCCTCAATAAGCTGTAGTTGTAATTAAGCTGCTGATATAAGAAAGTAATAATTTGCACTAATTACTGCAGTGCAGTGCAATTACTGTGTGTATGTGTTTTCAATATGCCATGCACAAAATGACAAAGATGACGAACACAAATTTTTTGTTTTAAGTCTGACAGATTAATAGACCTTGTTGTCTGTCAATGCCAGTTTCATGTAAATTTTTTGTTTCTCACTGAAGATAAGCCTAAGGTTTTTATTATAATGTATGATAAATGGAACATTAGGATATTTATTAAAATCTAGCTTCCAGTGTTATTTATAATTTATCTTCTAAGTTATTTTATTCAGACATTTCCTGTAATTTCTAGGTGTATTTATTGTGATAATACAGTGATATATGTTTAATAATGAAGATAAGAGAATCCTTCTATCAATAAATCAAATTTGCAATGAATTATTCTTTTTTTATTATTTTACAATTAATATACCATCCATTCTCTGTTAATCTGATTTCGCTTAACCTAAAGATGACTTCTCCAGGTGGAGCGGCACACTGCAGAAACACTGTATTGCATCAGGTTGTGTGAATGTGACACTTTGCTGAAAAAAGTGTGTGTGTAACAAGTCAGACCTCCCTGGACAAACAAGTTAAACTACCGTTAGAGTCTTATGTTAATCTTCTGTAAATATTCCACTGTGTTCATAGAAATTACAGTTTAAAAAAACACTTGTTATAACATCTTCATTTCACTTAATGCATGAAAGAAATGAAAGAAAGCCATACTCATGCCACCTGCCAGTCATGTAACACAGGTCGCAGTGTGTCATGTTAAGTATACTCTGGTACTATCAGCAGTCTCTCAAGGGTGTGAGCTAGTAAAGTAAACATGGATCAGCCCTCAAGCAATTAGGAAAATAGGAGTACGTTTCCATTTCAAGTTTTGCTGTTGAGTGTTTGAAGACAGGAGCTACACGGAACAGAGCAAAACGGCCTTTTCAGCTTTCAGTTACTCAGGCAGTTGGTTTGGTTTGCGTTCAGTGAGTGTTTGTTACATGTAGACCAAGCCCACTTCATTTACACAAAGAGGTGATTTAAAGAGCTTCACAATGGAGAGAAGAGCTTTGGCTTTGAGGGAGATGATCAAGAAGCATTGTCCTAAGAAGGAGAATCTGGACCCTCGAAAGTGGGTGACAGAGGAGACCGTGAGGGGCTTTGCTGACTTCATAACCAACAAGCACTCGGACAAAGAGACAGACAACAGCTTTGACAACAAAGAGATGTGTGAGTACACAAGGACAACAAAATGAGAAAAGCTGGAAAATAAATAGACTGTGGCTGGAAGATTATGGAGCAAAATGTTCTCTTTAGAACTGAACCCTTGAGTTTGTACTGTTTAATGCTGGGGTTAATCATTAGTTATTAATGGTGGTGGAATGACTGTACTGCCAATAGCATGACAGAAGAAATGCACTATATTTGCACAAGGCTGAAACCCAATCTCCACAGCACATAAAAGAGATACACACTCATCTCAGTTTAACTTGCAGTATGTTCCTGTGGACCCAAATGCCACTGAAAATGCCACACATCAGCTTTCTATACATGCTGTTATGTACAGTATATTAAAGACTATAGTATATATGTAAATAGCCAAGTGTAAAACTTTCCCTCCTGCTGTGTTGTGTAGTGCTCGATGCAGAGAAGCAGTTTATGGAAGCAGCTAAGAGGAATGATGTGGAGACCATGAAGACTCTTGTAAAGGGACTGAACGCCAATGCAAAGAATGTGGTGGGTCTAAAAAGACAAACTCTCTCTCTCTGCGTCTCATTACACTGCAACGTCTTGAATAACGTCACACAGACTCATTTCTTGGTTTTGGTGAAACCTTTGCTAAATGGATAATATACGGATTGTTTGTCTCAGCATAATAGGACTGCCCTTCACTATGCAGTAGCTGGCAAAAACAAGGAAGCTGTCCAACTCCTTCTACAGCGCAGGGTCAAGGTGGACCAAAAGGATAAGGTGAGAGGGTTTGAGATGCCTACATCTGAGGACTTGAGCCACAGACAACGGGTTACGCGTCATTTTCAAGTAATCACAACTTTCCATTTTTTTGTTCTGTGTCTGACAGTATGGCGTGGCACCCATTCATTTGGCTGCCTGGTTTGGCAGTTTGGAGATCCTGAAATTATTAGTGCAGGCTGGGGCTGAACACAAGGTTGAGAACGAGGTAAAGAAGCAGAGAGCTTTGTTCTGCTGTTTCTCATTTAGTGACAGAAAAATACCCAGAAATCAATGCCATTTGTCTTAAAAATTTGCTCCTCCTCAGGTACTTGTTGATTAATTTTCATTATCCTGGATTATCCTGGATTTTGAATCTAACATTTGCATGCTCATCTTGTTACAAACCTCAGGGCAGCTGCACTTGTTCTTCTTGTTACATAATGCAGTTAAATTCACACGGCTTGATTTAAAAGAAAATGTTTTCTAAATTATAACTTTCTCTACATTAGGAAGGACTGAACATTATGCACTGCGCTGCTATCAACAACCACACTGAAATTGTCGAGTATATTATTAATGACCTACAGATGAAAGAACTAGACAAAGATGACCAGGTATAAACTTGACACTAGTTTTCCATGAAGTGACTGTATAATTCACTTATTTAGAAAAGCCAAATTAGATGCAGTAAATGTGGTCGCTCCAAATAAATGGTTGTTATTCTTACACTTCAGTCAGGGCATCGCGCATTTGCATTGGCGGCAAAGCATGGGTGTGTGGAAATGTTAGAGATGCTGATGGAGCCATACAAAATGGCCACCGTGAAGCCCAACAAGGTATGAACTTATTTGTGTGTTTCTGGTGCACCTATTTACATTACACCTGTTTTTGCTCACATGTGCCTGGGCGCACATCTCTGTGTCACACCTGCAAGCGAGCTCAAAGTCAAACACTCTTTGATGCCAGTCGTTTCCCTCCTTCCCTTCTGTCAGAGAGGTGACACGCCCCTGCACTTAGCTGCCAGCAACGGCCACTTGGACGCCATCCAACTGCTGCTGCAGAGCTTTGATACTCGGGATGAAGTCAATATGGTAGACAATCAGTGGAAACATCCTCCCTATATCACGGTTTGGTTTGTGACAGTGTGTGCTCAGTGGCTAATCCATTGCTTGATGGTGGCTCCACTTTGGATTAATTAAGATGCATCAAACATGTACTGGTTACTATTATATAACAAGGTAAACTATGTTCTGGCTTGAACTAATAGCGCTTCTGGCCAGAGATTCTGCTGACTAGGAAAGGTACTTCATAATGGAAGTAATCCATGTTACAAAGACAGTCATTACCAGTTATTAAATGATAATAATAATAATAATAAAAAAAAAAAAATGTTAAAAATGTTAGCATAAACCAATATAAAAATAATTCATTGGCTATTAATTTACTGAAGCCCATCCACACTTCTTGTGTAAAAAAGGTTGCTTGATTTCTGATGTCTGGTGAGCTATAGGTCTGAAACCATAACATTTTGTGAGCATAACAAGTCATTTTAAAATGTGATCTATCTGAGAGGAATATTCTGCTTCTGTTGTGGTTATCCGGCACCTATACTATATTTTTCAGATAGATCTTCTGTGTTGCAGGATGGTGAGACGGCTCTGTACCAGGCGGCGGACAACGGACAGGAAGAATGTGTCCTGGCCCTGCTGGAGGCTGGCTGTGACCCCGACATCCTCACAATGGTACAATACGGCGCTGTGGTGACTCATAAATAAATCCCTGCTAGTGTCCTGCTGTTAATGATACTATGGCATAAAATATATTAGAGCCGTTAATCCTTTAGGCAAAATCATAATATGTGGTAAATTAAATTATTTTTCTTTTAAACATAGGCTTACACAGCTGAACTCCCTCTCTTGTAGGCCAAATGCAGCGCTCTCCATCCAGTTTCAGAAAGAGGAGACACATCTATTGTCCAAATCCTTTTAGAGTACAAAGCCTTTACTGACTTTCAGAATCAGGTAAGCACACAAGCTAGGTGGCAGTAGTACACTCTGTCAGTAAAGTGTTCTGGCAACACAGATCACATACACGTAAGTCGTGCTGCCGACGCGCTGCCTGGATGCGCATCATTGTAATTTTACACATTTTTTAAATTAACAGTTCACTTTTTTGGGCTCATGTTGTGTAACAGCATATTTTTGCTCTCAGCACCTAGCGGCTCCTCTCCACCTGGCAGTGAAGAACAGTCACATCCCTGTCATCCATTCTCTACTGGATGCTGGCTGCAACATTAATGTCACCGATAAGGTATAATCACTCTACTAATATAGTAAAATAAGACAACATACAACGTAACATTAAAGTAGTGAATGTATGCTGCATTGTGCTGTCCTGTGCTATGAACTATTAGAGGTCCCGGACTGCTATGCATCTTGCTGCAGAGCTGGCCAGAATAGAAGTAGTGGAGATGCTTCTTAAAGCCGGGCTGGATCTGACACTCCAGGACAGGGTAAGAATTCTAACTCAAATTTTTAGAGCTAATGTAGTGTAGATGCCATGGAAGTTCAAATTTTGCTCTTGTATGTGTACATATACACTTTCTATCTCATAGTTAGACCATCTAAAGGGTAAAAACACAATGTATGACTAATTTAAGGCATAACAGCAACATGCTACATTGAAACTGTAAGAAAAAGAAATCAAAATCTGAGATTTTACAGTTCTAATTGTAGTTGTGTATTTTGTTGTACATGTTCAATTTGGAGTAGCAGGGTAAGACGGCTCTGGGTACGGCAGCCAGAGCAGACGAGGTGATTATTGTGGACATGATCATCAAAGCAGAGAGATACTACGCCTGGAAGACGGTGAGAGATAGTGAAATGATGCTTGTAACTTTTACTATTTTCCTATGTGCCATAATCCATTCTTGAAGCCTTGAAATCAATAATTAAATTCATCACAGATGATTCATTACCTAACGTCAAATTCTAGATCAGCCAAGTCCCCGCTAATACTATTAAGGCATCCATGGTAAAAAAATAACTCACAACTGGAAATATTTGACAGCCAATTTACCACCAATTTAATTAAGGATATGCCAGATTCCCCTTCCCTTCTTGATTTTCTAAATGTTTAACTCTGGCATTCATATTGCTAATCATGCGTGTGAGTGTCTTTCCAATAATCTCTTCCCATTCCCCTGTGCTCTCTGGGGCTAGTGGCCTTTATCAATCTGCTGACATGATTTAATTGCCCTTTCAGGCCAACCCTGAGCTTAATGAGAGTGTTCACAGCGAGTATCCGCTAACGTTTAAGCTCGACCACCGCTTTGGGACCAGGCAGCTCCGTTCGATGGCCTGGCGCCTGGCGTACAAGCTCCTGAAACCAGGAGACTGGAAAAGACTGGCAGAACACTGGGGCTTCACTAAGGACCAGGTGTCTGCCATTGAGGAGCAGTGGACAGGTGCCACACCTCACACTGACCAGACAGGCTGTCTGTGCTTTTTGCAACTCTCTGAAATACTATATGAATTTACAGGAACTTTTAAAAATTAATATCCCTCGCTAACTTTATTTTTCCTGTTTCATCTTCCAATGTACAGAGGCAATCTTTAAGTAATTTTTGCTAGGTGAAATGTTTTCCTGACTCTACAGTGCTGTGTTTTTATCCACAGGTCAGCACAGCTACCAAGAGCACGGGAACAGGATGCTGCTGATCTGGCTCCACGGGGAGGAGTTGGCTCAAAAGAGCCCTGCCAAAGAACTGTACCAGGGCCTCATCCTCACAGGGAACACAAAAGCTGCAGGTACTGTAGATTCGGTAAACTTTTTTTTTTCTTGCAAAATAATTATACTAAGCGATATATGAATATTTTGCTGTGCTACCTGGGGATGTTCACCAAAATTTTATTAGAGAAATGTTCATTTGTCTTACAGATAAGATTCGGACGGAGGCAGTGACTGCCAGCAAAAAGAGCTGCAGCATTTCATGAAGACAAAATTAACTCCATGTTCACATCATTTTCAACTACTGATCTGTTCAGAAAGTTAGCAGTAAAATAATTTATTTTGAAAACAAAATTGTGCATCAGATCATTAACATATGGCTTTGGTTTAGTAAAGTAACTACCTGTGTTGTTGGATGGTCGGTTTCAGTAGAAATCATCAGTAGCACAAATATTTAAAATATGTGGTTTTACACATTACAGTACAGCCTCACTTGTGCATAATTTAAAGTCAAAGTTTTTTCATAGAAATAAATGTCCATTTTGCAATTCTTGACTGTCCAGCTGGTAGTAATTAAATAATAATTAAAAAATTTACACGTGCAGTTCTAAACACCTGTGTCTACTTTCCTGAGAGAAATCCTAATGCTCAGGAGCGCATTTCACATTCATGAAAGGAAGTTGAAAAATGGCAATAAAATGTTCACTTCAAATGCAGAGCGCAAGGGCAAAGTCATTTCAAGATATCAAAATAAAATGGACTTGAAACTGAAGCCAAGGTAACTATTTCTAGGATTGTTGCATAGGATGTGTTAAATCTTAAATCTAGACTAGGTGAGCAAGATTTTCTGAGATATATGCGTGTGTGTGTGTGTGTGGTCAGTCAACTACTTTGATGGAGTGTACATGGCACGTGCTGGTGTGTGTTTTGGAAGAGCCTCTGCCTCCGGTGGAGCTGTGGCCTTGTTGGGAGGAACGAGGATATTTAGCAGCCGTGGCCTGACCGAGGGTGAGCTTGAAAGAATGAGAGAGAAACAAAAGATGTTGATGTCTTTTTTTAGCTTCACACGGTGTACTGTAAAGGTGTACTCATAATAAAACACAGCCATTGTTAGTGGTGATGCACACTGTCCAATACCTGTGTAACAGGATGATGGCGTTCAATTATCACAGAGCTCATGGGTGGAGCCACACCCATCACCTGGAGGTTGCTGCGTGCAGCCTTACCCACATCAGGTCGTGCTGTGACACGAGCAGTTACAGTCTTTGAGGGTTTTTGTTGACTGGCTGTGACGGCACGACCAGTGAGCTGAAACAATGAACACTCACATATAAATGTGATGTAGTAGAGACCAAATGATATATGATATAATTACGATCATAGTTACAAATAGCTGTTATGAAGGTGGACAGAGGCCCTTGTACCAGAGCATATCTACATGTCTAATGCTAACCTGTTTGTTGGAACTTGCAATGCCCCCAAGTGGGAGTGAGCTGTGCACTACCGTCGTGGGAGGGAGTACTTCTGCCCTGGACACGGAGGCACCAGAGCCCACCTGAAGAAAAGGGAGTCAGTGCGAACAGTGACAGGAGTGGGATTTAGAGGAAGTGAGTCACAGTGCAGAAAACAGATTTACTCAAAAAGAACAACATTTATGGTAATAGAAGGTAACACCATAAATAGGGGAACAAGAAAATTATACAAATACAACAGCATATTCAAAATTCAAATTCGGGGGACCTATTATATGAAAAAATTGATTATGGATTTAACTGATCTAATGAGATATTTGAGAAGAAGCTGAACTATGGCATGGAAGAATTATGGTGTGTAAATAAATGTGCTGTATGTTTTCATTAGACATAGTCAGTGTCTCACCACATCCTCTGCTTCACTGTGGGAGGGAGGGTCTGGGCCGTCAAAGTGGACCGGGCTGAACCGTGTGGAAGAGATAGGATACGGTTGAAGTTGAGCCATTGTAGCAGTGCTAGGCTCATCCTGGGCAGGCAGAGGATCTATAGAAAGGACAAAAATATATTAACTGAGTCAGGCTCTGGCACAATATATTCTTGATCTATATAGTTACGGAAAACTACTCCGAATGAAGCTGAGTGTTGGACTAATGTTCTGAAACAACTCTTGATGACCGGCATCCTGTGAGTGAAAAGTTTCCTTTTGGTTGAAGGATTTCACTTGACTTGACTCGCTGTCAACACTAATGATTAAACACAATATTACATGTGATTAAGTATGAGTTGCAATGTCAATATCTTCACTGTCTCTTGCTTGTTTGAAGATATGTTAATAGTGCTATTTTTAAACTGAATGAGTAACAGAAGTAAGTGCCATCTACACTTCCTGCTGTGGTATATTAAAAAGTTGACTTATCATTAATGATTCATAAATCCTGTCAAGTATGTGCTTAAGTAAGTACTTAAAAATAGCCCAAATATGACCTTATATCAATCTCTTATTGATAAGAGAGAAAAGTAACTCTTGTTCAAAGAAATCCAGCCAATCTTTCAGTGCCACATCCAGGTTATAACCTGTGACTCATCATTCCATTAGATGAGTCAGTGAATGACTTCAAGAAAAGAACAAAGACCCCCATCCACTCCACTCATTCATAAATCTACACATCTGTCAATAGCACAAGGCTGCACTCTATTGGAGAAATGGTGTTTCTGTCTTTTTTGTCTGTTCGTTTCTGTCTTGATAGCTGCGCTGAATCAATACAGCACTGACACAAGGTTAACAATACCTTTATGGTTTGCTCTATAGAGCCTTTTTATGTAGTTATGGGGCTCGTGATTTAGAGCTTTTGTGTGCTGGTTGTTAAAAAAGATGGATATTCTCTAAAAATAGGTATGTGTGGTCTTTCTGTTACAGACCATGCTGATCATGAACTGGAGTTTGCTCCGGCCGTCCCTCCGCAGTGTGAAACATGCTGAGAGCCTCCATGTTGAGAGCACATACGCCCCTCATGAAGGCTTTCTTCATGGATTCCTCATAGCGCTCTCGCTCTAGTCGTAGTCTCTGAATCTCCGCCTGAGCCTTCTCTATAGCCTCACAATGCTGTGGAGACAGAAAGAATCAGTCATTTATCAGTTTATATAATACTGACAACACCACCTGGTGGAGCTCATTTTCTTGCTTTCAATCTCCGGCCTTTGTGTTGCACCCTCGATATACATCCATAACACCATCAGTAAAACGGTTATCCATAATTATCCCTTTTTTTATTTCTACTTGCTCTATGGTGATTTCACTGCAAACTATTAATCAAGTTTAATGTGGCTGTTCAAATTGTATGCATTTATAACAATGCACTGAATAAACCTGCAAATAAATACATTTAGCTATGTAAGAGACTAATATAATCATGGTAACTAGTGGTGCTTTGGTCCAGTTGACATGACTCAGCTTGGCTGTAAATGTACAATGACCACAGAGTGCTTTGATACTTATGGTAAAACACACTGAATGAAGTAGTGTTACGTATGAATTCAGCAATGCAGCATCACCATACACACACAGTTTCACATGCAGGTCCTTCCCCTCCTTTATTTACCTCTGCCAGCTTGGCCTCATACTCTGTGGACAGGTTTGCACAGACCTCTTCAGCCCTTGCACGGCAAGCCCGCTCCACCTTGACCTTCCAGTGTTTTTGGACCAGAGAGTGCCAGCCTAACCACACCTTCTTCTTCAGCTGCAGATTGTAGTGCTGCTGTGCTACCTGAGCAGCATGAGCCTGGCAGGGAACCACAAGACCATGAAAATATTCACAAGGAAATAATTACACCCATAATTCATTCCTGTGCAGGTGCAATACATTTTCTCATGGTATGTTTTCTGTGTCACGGTTTAGCCAAAAATATGAGTCATCTGCTTAATTTTCCATTTTAAAGAAATGGCATAAACAGCTATTTTGAAAAAAAAAAAAAAAAAAAAAAAAAAAAAACTTTCATTGGCATTTTATGCTCTTCTTAGTTTGATATGTAATATGGTTAAAAAGGATCATCATCAGTTCATCAGTGCACTGACTAAATTTTATGATTTAAATTTTGTGAAAGGAGATATTGGTGCAAATGTGGCATATGCATGTTCAGTGGGCAGTGACATAGTGCATAGTCATGTATGGGTCTGTGAAGCATGCAGAGACTGATCATTTGCATAAACTATTAAACTGTAGTGATCTAGAAATGTTAAGATACATTCACCTAGTAATGTTACATACATTTAGGAAAAAATAATCATAAATTATAATTTAAAAAAGAGAAAAACAGACTATACTATGTGATTGGGGGCTCACCAAAATGGATTAGTCCCACACAAACAAATATTTTATACCACTTTTTTTTCATATCCAGTTCATGCAGCACGACAGTAGGTTTTTCTTCTGAGTCAGTTTACTAAACTAGGAAGCATCTCTGTACATTTTCTTAGTGTAGGAGGCGAAAAGACAGACAAGTGTGTTATGCAAGATGTGAGAGTTGAAAGCTTTAAATCATACCGAAGACAGACAATATACGCCCATGAAGACACTCGCCCCCACCGTAAATATCACCACAAATAGTTGTAAAACCCGTGGGAGACACCACAATGTCATCTATGTACCTCTTCTTTGGCCTCAGTGTGCTGAAGCCTCCAGTGGGTGAAGGCCTTCATCTTTTCAAGCTTTTCTTTTTGCCTATCCAACACCTGGCTCAGGTTCACTATCACCTGAGGGAGGACACAGCACACAAACAAGCTTGACAGTCTAAAAGCAGACATGGTTTTTCCTCATCTTTTTCTTTCAAGTGCTAAATGTACATAAGCAAATGAGCAAAAGATAGAGGTATGGGTCTAACACATGGATTAAGCCCACCCAGTCCTACACTAAAACTTAACAATAATGGAAATAAAATCTCAGTTTGGAAATTAGTCAAAGCACCCACATTATGTACTGGAAAAAAACAAAGAAATACACATGTAGTCACCTCATCTTTTCTGTGGTTGGAAGTCTCATAGGTGTGTAGCAGCCCCTTCAGGCTGTCTAGCTCTGACTTCAGGCCAGCTGTCTGGGCTGCATACCTCTCCTTCTCTTTCCTCATCTCCAGCTTGTGTTGCTCCACAAAGGCCAGCTTCCACTTCCGTAGCTCCACCAGCACATTTGACTAATTAGGGAATAGAGGGTGGGACTATCACGGTGTGTTCATTATCCTACTTTAATAAACATGGACAAATGCACACATGCCTTCTTTTAAATTGGATGAACAAATGTGTCAGAGGGTTTGTCGCTGACAGCAAGAGAAAACTATGAACCTGGCAGATTTCCTCTCTTGTTTTATTGGATTCATTTCTGGAGACATCTAACAATGCCCTGGCTTGGATTTGATTTATAGTTCTGATGTGCATTTACATTTTTTGAGGAAGCACACCTCTGGGGGATTCAGAGGTCTAGAACAGGCTTCCACCTGCAGCCTCCACAACACCGCAATGTAGAACGATAAAATAAATTTGGCCTTAGAGTTAAATGGTAAAATTGTGACCATAGCTAATTTTCTACAGAGTCAAACACAACCAGCACCAACAAATGTAAACAAGTTTGTCTTATATGGAAGGTAAAACAAGAGATTTTCTTCCTGCAACCAACCCTGAAAGAGTCTCAACATCCTCTAGCAAAGTCCATGGTCCTCTACTGCCTTTTCCCTGGTCGAACTCTACTCTTTTATCGGCACTGCTTAGCAGGTGATTGGTTGTCATTTGCCCTCCATGAATGAGTTGTACAACATCAGGAGAGAAGGGCAGGAAGGACACCCACTGAAGCCACCCACCTCCTCCAAAATCATTCCTCTGGCGGACACAATTAAAAGGTCACTGGTTCCAGGAAGAATAGAGCTGTCATCCAATTCAAAGAGACTCAAACACTTTACATTCCCTTTTATAATTTCTGATCACTTTCTCACCACTGTGCACATACATGCTCCACAGTATTTCTTGTATTGAATCCATTTCATTCTAACTTTCTAATTACATGAGTTTGGGAAGTGTCAATATGAACCTAATATGCTGATTTAATTCACCCATACATTTATGCATTTTTATAATTATATATAATCTGAAACATGCAGTGTCAGTGAGATTAACATAGAGGAGCGGTTTCCAACCTGCGGGTCGTGAAGGTTTTACAAGTGGGCTGACAAATCATTTGCAAAAATATATACGTATAAAATCATATGATCTTTAAAAACATTGAACATTTTTGAAAACTTCTTTCATTTTTTTTTCTTCTGGTATTAAGGCCTATCACTGTGATAAGGCAATGACAGGAACTTTTATGTTGTCACTATCTCAGTCTGATTGTGTGCTAAAAGATTACATCCATAGCAAAAACTAGAGTATCAAAAATGGATAGCTGGTTAGTAACAGGAAGAGTTAAAAGGAAAGAGAGTCAAGAGACATCTGGTGAATCGACAAGTGATCTCTCCACTGTCAAACAAAAAAGAAAAATTGAGCTTCCCCTGCTTGAGTTGTGAATGTTTGATCATGATCATTAAAATAGAAAGTGCTCTGAGAACGAATTATTTGGGCTCCATATTGTTACAGTGCTAGATGTGGGCCACCAACATTTTTGAGATTTTCAAGTGGGTAATGAGTTGGAACAGGTTGGGAACCACTGACATAGAGTAAAAGGCTTTTTTTTTTCTTTTTTTTACAAAATGCTTGCTTTTTCCACCATACTCTATTTATTTTTTTGTAAATGAACCACTATAAAAGTAAAATGTACAGTATATGCCAGATAAAGCTTAATTCAATGTTTTGCTTTCTAAATTGCTCTTCAAAGACTTAATTAATGCTCTGTTGTCATTGTACCACAGATTTGAACACTAACAAATCTTAATTAAGATTAAAATAATTGTTTTCACAGTAAAACAATTCAGTTTCATTATTATCATTATTATCAAGAATAAATCTGCCAGCTCTGCCTTATTTTGCAGTGAACTGATGAATCTCAAAACACATCCCTGCTATTTTGATATTTGTATATACAGCATGTTAAAGAAGTTATTATTCAGCCGTGTCAGAGCCTTATATAAAGCCACACATTATTTATGGTCAGCTCTCAAGCAGACAGCAAATAAGAGCCGGTAAACTGATTGATTATGAAAGGACAGTTCTACATGAGGAAACAGACCAACCTTTAGACTGTTGCTCCACGTGTCCAGAATATTCTCCATCTTGCTTATGTTCTTCTCTGAAATAAACATCTCTGCGACAGCGGACTCCAGGGGGTCTGGGCTGTTTGGCCTAGACCTCTCAGACGCCGGCTGCAACCTGTCTGAGAGCACTGACGCCCTGCCAGATGCCCGACCTGCCACCTCCTCAACTGGATGGCAAAAAACCCCACAGACAGACAGATTATCACTTTATCACTAAAAAAAAATGAAGCAACATTGCAACTTGATGGTCTTGGTATTTCTAATCTTATTTGAAATTAAGAAAAATTAATATACAATTAGATATCACACAACCATTTTGCTTCTTTGTCATTTTCATTCATTTTACCATGAGAGGCTCTTGAGTGTGTGGTGGGCTCAACAATCAAGGGGGAGGCCTGTGATGATCTCACACTCCTGCTAGAATGCCTCCCATCTTTAGCTTCAGTGGCAGCATCTGGCAGAAGACAGGAGAGATGAGGGAGGGAAGTCAGTGAGAGAGGCACAACGCTAAATAGATAAAAAAGGAAATGTTGCTACAATTTGGAATGGAAGAAATGAGTGAAGTAAAATGTTGGAAAACAAAGGACAGTTTAAGAACAGAAAAGGTGAGGGCAAGAATGCTGAATAAGACAAGCATGGTCCTCATCCAGGAATGCATTTATGTCAATATCTTAATTAAATACTGCAGGGGGAAGAGAAAGCCTGCACTCTAAAGAGCAGTGCAGGCAGAGTGCCAGGAGATCATTACCAATCAGCCCGTCTGCTCTCTACATCCCTGTGCACTACTCCATGACAGTTAAAGCACTAAACCTCCAATGAGAGCTGCAGCTGGAGCTAGAGCTAGGGGGGAAACTGATAGACTGTTTAAGATGTGGGCATCGTAGGGGAAAGAGATAGGGGCTAGAATCTGACAGACTGATATCATATGCATCTTGACTAGGCTGGTTTACAAGCAGAAAATATGAGGCTGATAAACAGACACTGCATCTTTTTTCATGTTGTGATGCCAAATCCTTTTTGACAGCTGATCATTTGATGGGGGCAGTGTCTGGAAGGGCTCAAGTTGTGTTTCTGTCAGAAAGGCTTAGTGAAATGTGTGTGTATGAATGTTGCTTGCATACAAGAGGAACCAATGATACCTGCTGGGCGCTTTGATTTTGTTTCATCTTTTCTCTGGGAACTCCGGCCCTCTGCAAACAGATGTGAGGTGCTCAACCGCTGCAAGTAAGCACTGGTGAGTGTGTCAAGCTTAGGGGCGACCACAGCATAGCGGAGGAGCTCCTCATACTCGTCCTGTCGATCCATAAATAGTAAAAAAAAAAAAAAAAAAAAAAGATATCTATGATATGCAGATTTTTTTTTTTAACAGTTTCATAGTTCTTACTTTTGTACCCATCGTTCCTATTGGTTATAATACAATTTCAGTCATCGTCATCTTTAATTTTGACATGCATGTTGTACACACCTTTACAGTGGAGTCTACTAGAGTGATCAACACATGCAACAAGTTCCCGGTTTATAAAATATCATCTAAATCACTTACTAGGAGGTGAAAACTATATGATGTTAAAATTACAATCCAAACCGCCTGCTGAAAACATAAATTTGTCAAAGCAACCTCTGGCTTTAACTTCAATTCACTTATACTTAAAATAACCGCACATTTAGTTTTACAGTGCAATGGGCAATTCTGTTAGACAGTTCATGTGTGTTTACCTTTGCCTTCACTTCCAAATAAGTGGTTTGGATTAAAAATTTAAACTGGGTGTACGTTTAAAACTTGTTTGACTGATTGCATGTGTTACTCACACTAAGTGACTATATTCCCAGATCTGAGTCATATCACTGGAGCAAATGGAGCACATACATTGAAAGTGTGTTTTTTTAAAATCACCTGAAGCTCAGAGGACACAGAGCTGCCTTGATCTGAGTCCTTGGGCAGAACAGGGCTGGTTGGCTCTTCTTCGTCTGAGGACATCTAGATAGTTGGAAAGGTGATAGTTTAATGAGAAACTATCAAGCATGAGCTAAAAATGTCATATGTTATCCAGTGTATAGTTTCTACTGTATACTTCTTGTCTTTTGTACAAAGTGGTTTAGGACCAAATTCTGCAGCTAGTTTCAACATAACAAGTTTCTGTCTATATACACAGAACATAAGTGGGACTAAACTGCAAAATACGAGATAAGATAAAAAGCCTGAAATTTGCTTTCAATTTGGCACTGATGGGAAACTTACACATACATACAATACAGAGTGATCTTTCACATCTAGACCCCCAGATCTATAATCCACCTTGCCTGTTCATTTTTTTGTTGTATTTTTACAATTATAGTAAAGGTTATGCAAATCTGGAAGTGTGTTTTAAAGTGTCATTAGCTTCTCTGGAAAAATCTAGTCTTGACAAGTTTAAGTGGTTTTCCATCTGGACCTGTGATGTGGTCTAGGTGTGTAAAAAGAAAAAAGAAAAAAGAAATCAGTAAGATCTCCCTTTCTTGTTCTCATAAATAAATTCACAAAGTGGGTTTAGACTTTAACTACAGAATACGGATACAGCATATCTGACTGTCTCTTTAATCAGCGAAATGTAACTAAATATACGTAACAAACCGTATGTTTTAACAGCCTTAAACACACGATAATACAAGCGATTGTAACTTTTCCTCCAGTTAACGGTTTCTGGCAGCGTTAGACAAGTGAAGTTTTGTAATTATGTCATAGCTAACGTTAAATCTGTAAAAAAAAAAAAAAAACACACACACACCTTTCCTTCGTGGCTGCTGCAAATCGGAAAAACTAAACTGTTTGGAGCGAGTAATTAGTGCTGGTTCACAGCCTCTACTAAGTTATAACCAAGCTGCATTCGGAAGTTTTTACCTGTTATGTCTAAATCTGTCTATACAGGCTGTCACACTCCTCTGCTCCCCCAAGTTATTCTTCAGTTGGAAAACGCTTGCTTTGCCGTTTCAAACCGATCGACTGTTAAACAACAGACCCTCCGATTGGCTTCTTTTTCCAAAGCCTCCAGCTATGTCGTCTCTGATTGGGTAAAATGTTTCCATGAGAACGGTAAGCGGAAACACTAGAAGCTCACCAGCTGCTCCCACTATCGAGAAAAACGCTCTGCACACGTTTTTTTTTCTGTGATTTTGGCAAATCGGCTCGTTTACTTCACGCTTTATTTTGACAGCTAGTGGCAGCACAATGTAGTAGCTAAGTATTATGGTAATCTTCAGGCGCAAGGGGTCACATGAGGACGATTTACAGTTATTATTGGAAGAGTGGCCTGGCCACACACGACAAGCTAACGACTATCCCGTGACAAATATATTACCTCAACTTCTACATATTACTTAGCAGGTTAAGAATGATTACTTTAATTACTCCACCTTTACGTATTAGTGTTTAAAAGGGTACAATGTTAGTTTATGGTTTGTCAATCTTTTTGAAATGACAACAAAGGACGCTGGCTTCTGTGATTGGCAAATCATAGCTGTAGCTGTGTGCCTATTTAAAGAGCACTATGGGTTCAGACTGTGTCTAATTCATAGTCTGTCTGCATAGGGATTAGCTGATTAAGTTCATTGTCATAGGGAAGCAAACTTACCTGTGTAAGAAAGGTGTAAGTCCTTGGTGAATACCACCACCCTGTGAACCTTCCTGTTGCCATTTCTTTGTTGTTCACTTAGGCAAATACAGAACACACAGTTCACTATCTGAATTACGCCAGTGTCTTAACCCCCTGAGGACCTAGTGCTTAACAGTATTAAGACACATATGTGGGTTAGGCCTAACGGCTTGGCAGTCCCAGGCATGGACAGGCTCCAAAGGGAAGAGACATATGGTCTTTCTCAGCCGTGGCAGAGCTGCAAGCAGTACTGTTGGAGTGAGGCCTCCTCACCACCTGGCTGTATGCTGTGAGTACTTTGCTGTCTTAAGGTGTCCTGTCAGCATTGAGAGAGACTTGCAGCCAGACTTTGAGAAGGGTGAATGCATGATTGTTACATTGGTGACAAACTCCCCAAAAACAGCTGATCACAAAGTGTTGAGGTCTTTCTGTCCCATCAAGGATTCAATCTGATACATTTCATGTCCAATATATTGTATATTAGAAATAAACTGAATGATTACTTAGTGCAAACAAGGCCTGGCACAGACTCACTCAGCACACACACATATACACACATATACACACACATACACACACATACACACACATACACACACACAAACACATACACTTTATGATAACATGTCTTGACAGTTGACGCGGGCTATGATTTTGAACCAGAATTGTGAGGCACAGAGGATAATCCTTGCTGCTCTGTGGGGAGTGGAGGTTTCCTGTTGAATGACAGGAGGCTGTAGCTCCCACAGATTACTTATTTCCATTTCAGAGCAGACGATGCACATGTTTTGAAAGGTTTGGTGATGTGTTCATCACAATTTCTCTTTTAGGGTGGTTTTTGTCATCCCAACCTGGCTTGTTGGGTACACTGCTTGGGTACACTTTTTATCGTGCTATATTAACGTTGAACTGCAAATTCCCTTTGCCTGTCTGCATTTGTGTAAGTTATTTTAACAAGAACTGGCCGGGAATAGACAACTGTAAGGTTTGTGTATGCATTGTGGTAGGGCTGGCTTTTGAGGCATATGTACTGCATTTGTCTTACTGGCAACACTTTAATAGCACAATGTATAACAGCCAACTGTTAATCTGGTATAGTGCCCAGTCCCTTCTTGTGGGATATGTAATGTGTGTATTCTGTTTGTCTTCAGGACTGTACTATTAATTACATCTTTTTAATTGCCCCATGTGGGATAAGATGGAGTTGCATTAAACTGAATTACTATTTCTCAGATATGTACAGAATAATCCATGTGTTGTTAATTAACACAAAGCAGTTCAGATTGGTATTGGTATTGGCATCGGTATTGGTTATTACACCTGTCTTTTTACAGCATGAGCACAACCATGAATTAAATGATACACAATAACTTAGATCTGAGTTTAAGATAAAAGACAGACGATAGGGACAGGACTCCATTCTGTACCAATTCTGTATAATGCTTTCTCTTTGTTGCAGACAAAGGTAATAAGCTACTGTTGATAGTGGTTAGATTAAAACCAGTGTTAGTGCCTCAAACCTTTCTTTAGATCCCTTTTGTAAATTTCACCTTCCTTTGAGCAAAAGAAATGCACCTGGGCTTGTGGGTTGAAATGGGATTCAGCTCACATTCTTCTCTCATAGCCTGTTCAATCTGTTCCAGGACAATAATCACAATCCATTTGACTTTCTTCCCCCTGGTATTTTAGCTCAGGTACGTTAGACTATTCAGGACCTTGCAATGATAGACAGAGCAGAAATTAGGAAATAATGTTCTGTGCTTATACAGGTTGACTTTGTTGGGGAACTTTTTCTTACAGTACTTTTACAGTTTTATGCTGCATTTTGCTTTTGACAGATAAAAAAAGGATTGTTTTGTATATGTATCATTTGCATTCCTATTGTAAAACTGCAGATTGTAAACTCGGTGTAAAATTGTTTCTGCCTTTGATCGATTTTCAGTCAAATGTATTTACAGACAGCCATAACTCCTGAAGGAAACAACTAATGTGCTATCATCAATCGTATTGTTATCAACCCATTTTTCTCACATATGAGACAATGATGACCTCTCACTGAATACAATGTTGCCAGAACTCATCTTGGAGTTATTCATAGCTGCCTGCTGTTTTCAAATTAGTTTTCATTACATTTTGATGGACCAGGACTTCCCCCTTGGGCCTCTCTAATCCATCACATCTCTCTATCAGTGACACCAGTGTCCTTTTGTTTTTCTTTCAGAATTCTTGGGTACCGAATTCGCCAGGACTTGTAAACACATGGCTTCATTGATCGCCCTCAGATAACATAGTACTAACAACCAGGTGAGAGACGAAAAACCGGCATAATTTTCCTCCATTATTATGTAACAAATCCATGCAGTATAGCACATGCTGAGTCCAGCATAAAGTGGTCAGTCACATGAGTGCAGATGAGCAGTGGAGGCTGAGAGCAAAGACGGAGACTAAATCAGTTAGCCCGAGCTTCTATCTCCAAAAGGCACCAACAATTACCATCAGTGTCCACATCTGTTTGTTATAATCTGGATGAAGATAAGCCGCAGACAGTTCTTCCAGTCTACCTCCACCTCTCTATTCATTCCTTAAGGAAAGCTGGCACTGCAGGCACTACACCGATTTTAGATCTCGGGGGAGTAGGATGCATGTGAAAAAACAGGAATTTAATACATTTTACTGCATATATCTGTGTGGAAACATGCATTGTGTACTCAAACATTGCATAATGTCCATGCAACACAGTTCCAGTGGTTTCATGTTTGGTAGATTAGAAAAACAAATTTACATACATTATGTTTTGTATATCATAATTAAGTATGCCTTCTGTGTGTTCTTTGAATGGCTTATGTACGTAGAGTATAAGTGCATGTTCATATGTAGATATTAATGTAACAATGTCATGTTCTATGTTTATGTATATAGTAAGTTGTACAACACATAAATTCATATGGAGAGGATGAGAGAGATACCTAAGCACTGAAGGATCTGAATTGCTCGGCCAGCAGGATTATATGGTATTCCGATGCTGTCACTTTTTTACTACAGTACCTACAACCAATATTATCTTACATTTACTGCATGTGGCACGGGAATTCATTACTTTGACAGCCATTCTGCGTACATGTCAGAATCCAATCTGCAAGCTCTGAAAAATATGGAAATTCCTTGTATTTTCATTGTAATAAAAAGACACTGAAATGCATGAGCATCTTTCTTGCTTGTGTGCATGTTGATGTGACAAAGAGAAGAGAAAAAGCCCTACAAAAGAAGAGGGAAAGAATGCGCCGGCATGCGCAGTGAAGTGTGTGTGTGTGTGTGTGTGTGTGTGTGTGTGTGTGTGTGTGTGTGTGTGTGTGTGTGTGTGTGTGTGTGTGTGTGTGTGTGTGTGTGTGTGTGTGTGTGGGTCATTCTACTGTCCTGTACATTAAGCTAAGTGCTCCTCAGCTCTCCAGCAGTAGTAAATGGAGGCTTATGGCTTGAAGGGGGTTTGTCTCCCAACTCTGAATCAAAGGCAGAGAGTGTCCCAAGCCTCAGGTCACTGCTTTTGTGAATCATCAAATTCAGAGGAAAAAAAGATAGATGCTTTTTTTTTTTTTTTTTTTTTGTTTATGAGTCTGTGTGTGCCCTTGCACGCTTTTGTGTTGTGTGTGTCTTTGTGCACACTGTATGCATCATTTACAATCCTGTTCAGTAAACATGATGCACAACCAGTGTCAGAGCCATGAGTTGGTGTTTAAACCCAGTAAGGAACCAGGCTGCACTATGAATTGCATTTCCTACATTAAGACGTTTTAACATGGAGCAATTGAGATTTAGTTTCTCTAAAAGTGAGAATAAGGAATTGGATGGACAGGGTGTAATACATCAAAGAGCTTTCTCATACTCATTTCTGCCGTAGACTGGGTTTCACTGGTAGAGCTGGTATAGTTTGCAGGCTTTAACGATGTGAATACTGAAAGGCTGAATGTCCCTGTGCTTGCATCAGTCCGTCATCTCCCCGCCCTCCCATTCTCCAGGAACCACTCGCGGGTTTCAGAGGCATTAGAATCTGACATAGCAGGCATACAGGCAGTCACTGTCTCACACTCCATCTAAAGAGACTACTTATCTCAAAGAGCCTGTGCTCGGTTATGCAATTATTGTAACAGGATTGTATAATCTTTGTGTGGTGTTCGTCAATAGTATTACTACCTCTGTGATCTTCATTTGCAGGCATAAGAGGAATGAACGTGTTTAATTGTGCTTAAATTGCATCTGAGCATTGAGGGTTTTACATACTGCACAGGTTA